TTTCATTCACTTGATTCTGAATTTAAAGGTATATTTAAAGTCACTAACTGTTCATGATATTAGGCTATGTCAAGTCTGAAATGTAAGAAACAAAAGTTTGATTGGATAATAGCGAATAGACAGCAAAATATAAGTGATGTGGTTTTTATCAAATAAGATCTAGTTCTAAAACTTAAAGGAAAAATATATTTCAACTTTTTTCTGTCTCATTGTATATCAATCATCAATATTCCAAGATCCTGCTTATTAGGAAATATTTTTTTACTAATGCATTGAATGTATTTGCAAACACAGACTTCTGTCGTTTCTCGCGTGGATGTTCTCGATGTCTTTATTGTTATACGTCGCTTTTCATGGAATGGCATGAAAGTGTCACATTGAAGGTTCCATGATAACCGCCGTATGAACACATCTGCAATTTCAAAAGTTCACCATTACCATGATAAAATGTTGAATTCTGCTTTAGCCCTAGGGGCATGGAAGGTTACTTGCACTTTCCATGGCTCAATCAAACCGAGCCTGCAACATTTTCAATTTTGTCGTTTTGTGCGTTCTTTACGGATTATTTTGCCTCAATTTTATAATTGCATCACTATAAATATCGGAGATGATATAGATATATTGAAAGTAACACATTATGAAAGAACGAACAAAAGTAATTACTACATTTTCATCCAGATACATTACAAAATCTGAATAGATCTATCAATGCATATTTCCATTTACTAATTCTGCTGTATTTGATAAGCTGTTTATGGTGTCCACGTCATCTTTACATCATTATCAAAGCTTCGACCGTTGATCCTCATGTTTTGTTACTGAACACTTTAGATAAATTGTTTTGAAATTAAGTGTTTCGTACCACACAAATTTGTCTCAACACCCTTTTGCAACATTGCTTAGATATCTGGAATGCTTATTTATAACTTCAGCAATATTTAGACAAAAGCTTACAATTTTGTCATAGATTTTTTCATAACTATTCTCCCTGTCACATTTACAAAGACTGACGTTTTTTGTACATTTTCAAGCACTGACAACTTTGGAGCATGTATATAGCTCTTATTCTTGTTTATGAAAAATATGAAAAAAAGCTTTTAAAATTTCATTATATGATTTACTACAAAAATACAATAGTGTGTATAATTGATTTACCTTATATGATCAAAAGTTATAATTGTTTTGATCAATAGTTTTAAAATGATGGGATGACATGTGTTTAGAACATAACTTGCTGGTGATGTATCACAACATAGCATTTAGCAAAAATAAATCGTGGTCAAACAGGTTTTGAAATATCTTTAGGTAGGAGTTTTGTTATGTTTGTATATGATAATTAATTATTAATGTTTATGAGTAACATATCCACATTGTAAATGAAGATAAAATCTTTAGGTATTTTACATATACGATTAATATATTAGAAAATATTAGAATAAGTTTTCATAATTGACTTTTTCTAGAAACTAAATTGACAATTATTTTGCAATCATTATTCATTGTTCTTTGTGAGGGATTAGATTAACTGTTAACCAATTTGAAAAAATACCGGTATTCTACTTTAAGTTGTTTTGGACATTTGTTAAAATACTCTTACAGTTATCTAAAAATTTGTACAGTTTCAAATAACATTGACAGCTAAGAAGTTATACTCCGGACAAGCATATTCTAATATATGATTCTGATTCATTGAGGGAGATAATTAAACAGTAAGCAAGGTAAAATAATAGTTTTGGTGGTCCGCATTTCTTATTACTAAGTAAAATATATCATGTATGTATGAAGTTTATGCTTGATGAGGGCCCATTCCGCCCGGTAAGGCACAAAATGAAGCTTTCGCTGTCGAGTATGGACCCCGGACATGCTCACCAGTAATGCCATTGAAAGTTAATTTTGAAGCACAAATTGGCGATAATATATTTCCATACAATTTCCACGGAGTATTAGCCAAAGATACGAATTTTGAGCCAAATGTAGTCACTGCACGGCGGTCAATGAGTACCTAATTACACAGTTAGTTACCTGAGACAAATATGAAAGGAGGTAGCCCTTAAAAGGGCTGTTGGTACCAAGCAAAGGGTATGCATTACAAGCTTTCATTCGTACTAGGGGCTCACGCACCCTAGTACCTCATCCTCGTCGACTCAGAGCCTACTTTGTAGGGCCACTCCCCTCGGCTTTAGTCAGAACACCAGCAGTTAACTTCATGCAAGCTAAGTCGTACCGCCTTAAACGTTACCATGAGCTGTAGAAAGCATGCGAACTTGCCGTCGTACACGTAGCATGGTTCTACACTCATCTGCCGATTTCCAGTGTCTTCTCAACGACGTACACGTACCGACGGAGAGAGAAGTAATATATGTCACTTTTTGAAGTGTTAATCACTTCCCAAGTTATTCTCCAGACAAGCATTTTTAAATACAATAAAAGGAGAGAATTAAAAAATAACGCATGGTAGAGAACTGCACTTCACTAATATCTATCACCTTCAAGGTCAAGGTCATAAAAGACCCAAGGTCAATTTGAGTTATACATGCAGGTCTTATCCTAAAGAAAAGTGTGTTTAAATATGAGACCAATCTATTCAATAATAACGTAATAGCCAGTTACAACAAAAAATATATTGTTGTTATGTTCAAGTATAAATCCTTTCCATAAATAAATATTATTCCACATGTCTGGTTGGTCACAAGTGTTGTTTTGTCCACAGATGAATCGAATCCGTACATAAATTATAAAATTATGTTAATTTAACCAAAATGCATTACTCATTTGAGTAAAAGTCATTTTACGCTCAATGTCAAGTTCAATTCAATCTTTTAGAATGTCTTGTTTAACAGGTTGTTTTGTCCAAGTATGAAACATATCGATTGATAAATTACAAAGTTACAGCCAATTATATAACAATAATAAGTAAAAAATAAATAATTTAACCTTCAAGGTCAAGGTCATACATTAATCAAGGTCAATTTGAGATTGATATACAATGAAGGCCCTGACCTAAAAGATGTTGTGTTAAAAAGTAAATCAATTAATAAATAACAAAGTTTTAGCCAGTTAGAGAAAAAATAATGAAAAAAAATCATTAATTTGACCTTACTAGCCAAGGTCAATTTAAGGTCAAGGTCACAACTAAATTATTCAATATTTTGTTTGGTAGCAAGTCTTGTTTTGTCCAAGTTAAAAAAAAACAACAATTTTATGACAATTTAACAAAAATTAAATAATTTGACCTTGACGTTCAATGTCATTTAAAACTCAAGGTCAATGCCAGTTCACATTTTTGAAGGTCTTGTCCAAAATGTTGTTATGAAGTAATCCATTTATTAATTACAAAGTAGCAGTCAATTATAGCAAAAACCAGTGAAAATTTAATAATTTAACCTTCAACGTCAAGGTCATTACAGATCAGAGGTCAATTTGAGTTTAATGAAGGTCTTAACCTTTTACCCCATGAGTAGTTTGCGAAAAATGGCCATATTCATTGAAAAGCCTCCTGTAACAAGTTCAAACTGCTATGAAACTATGAAAAATGCTTCAATACTGATGAAACTTGGCACAAATGTTGACTAGATCATAGCCTCTGTAACAGCATGCTAAATCGTAAAATTTCCTGTTACCATGGCAACGGGGGGGGGGGCGTCTCAAAATTGCCAAAAATCACTATTTTGCATTGTTTTTTTCCATCAAAACTGATTTCAAAGTGCTGCAACTTCTCAATGAATTGAGATGGAGTAAAAGGCTTTTCAGCGTCGGCTACTTGTTACCCTAAGATCGACCTGAGGCCATTTTTAGCCCGTCACATGTCCAAAATTTTCTTGGCGACGAGGGGGACTACCGCCCCCTTTAGACCCCCCCCCCCCAAACCGGGGGGGGCACATCCCCCTTCTCGCAACGCCCTCATGTAATATTTGGATGGGGGCGGCGCCGAATAAGTGGTCACTTTTTTAACAACATTTCTCAAACGAAAAACAGTGATTTGGGCCTAGATAGGGCATTTTTTTCACTGTTTGAGGCCTCAAAATGGGGGACAAAAAGCCGTAGAAACACGTCTATATAAGGGAAAAGGTTAAAGAATGTTCTGTTATAATATAAAGTCAATCCAAATCGATTCAATAATAAAGTTATAGCCGGTTACAGCATAAAGAAAATTTAAAATGTCAATAATTTGACAAAGTCATTACTGATTGAATGTCAAGATCAATCAGATTAACTTGGAGATCTATCCTAAAAGATTATTATGTTTAAATTTGAAGACAAATCATTCAAAAATATCAAAATTATTGCCACTAATTGCGAAAAACAAGCATAATTTAGACATTTTGACCTCGAAGGTCAAGGTCATTTATGGATGAAGGTCAAGGTTAGTCTGATCTACTTAACGGTCTTGGCCCAGGGGTTGTTATGGACAATTTATGAAGACAATGCATGAAGACTTTAAAAAGTTAAAATCAAAATACAAGTTTTTTTGTTTTTGATGTTGTTTTAAGTCGAACTAAAATCATAACTCTGACAAAAATAATTTAACCGGAAAATACCGACGATATGCATTAGACTTGCTGTAAAGTTTGGATTAAATTGCAGCAGTAGTTTTCAAAAAAGTTGTCCGGACAAGTTTTGTGACAGACAGACCATGGCGAAGAAGTGGTCTCTGTATGTCGCCACGACTCTGTACATGCGATACAAAAAACAACAACAACAAAAAAAAAAAAAAAAAAAAAAAAAAAAAAAAAAAAAAACGGGAATCATATTTATTCACACTGTTCAATTTTGACTCGTTCAATATTTTATTTATTTATTCGTATTGAATTTTAACTACGAAGATATGAATAAATAACTTATTATACCGGTAGTCAAATCAATTAAGATATGAAGTATAGGTAACATGATACCTCGTCGCTATAACATTAACATAACACCGATTTTATCAATTAAAAACATCATTTTGGAAAACTAAAAAGCTTGTTAGATTTTATAGTTCTTATAGTTCTTATAATTTTATAAATAATGGAGGATATTGAAGAACTAGCAGAAAGTAAAGACTATGAAAACTACAAAAGTGTTGATACAGCATTGAGCTTAATCGGTCAATGTTTAGAACCATATACTGTGCAAATACTTCAATCTGTTCATGATAAAATCAAACAGAAACTTGCAGGTTATCATCAATGTAACCAGCGATGCAGTGAACATTACCATTACCACAGGTATGATTATTTAAATATATCAAAATTTTTAAATGTTTCTTTCATTGTATTGGCTTTTGTTTAAAATTGAACAGGTTAACTATGATATATTCACAATACCTGTCTCATACAGCAGCTTATTTTGTTTTGATATTTCTTTGTAACTAACCATAATTCCGTAGTTAAACTAAGAAAAAGTATGACAGTCTGTTTCTCTTTAAAGAATTCTGTCAAATATTTACATGAGCACAAGTATTGCCCAACAATATTGACATAGCACTTCATTAATTTTCGTAAAGGTCACTGTAAAACACAAGTATATAACGAATGTACCGATATATTTGTTAACTTCACACAACAAAGAGATGTGGTGTATCATAAATTGGTATTATAAACACACGACGCCAGTGTTAGTGAGAATGCGTTTATTAACGGGAAACGTGAAACGTGAAACGTGAAACGTCAAACGTGGAACGATTCTCTGTACAAAAGAGAATAAAAATAAATCATTACATAAAATACAAAGATAATTACATGTATATCAAAACATAAAAATAAACGTACGATCATCAATCAAAACATTTGTATTTACCTCTCAAATAAACTAAACATATTTTACTTAAATAGAGCTCTAATTACAGTACACTTAAATAATCTTATTTAAGATACATTCAATAAAATCCTAATATAAATTATCATTTTTAAACAAATAAATAAACATACCAACTATTGCGGCGTTTTAAATGTATCGTCGTGATGCTTATAAACTGTATGAACGTGTTTAAATTTGTTATGATCATTGCATTTCCGCCCAGATAAAATATGACGTAACGCGGCGTCTTAAGCCGCGCCAAACGTTAACGTTAAATTTGGTAACAAAAAATATCACTAAATAAGAAAACGATATTATGTGAATAAAATAGATGTAAGAAAGAGAAAAAATGTAACTATGTAACACAATATATAATGTTAATCTTAATAAATTCAAAGAAGAATTTAATAGGTATAGTTGCTGGACTACTGATCTGAAATTCTCTGATTCAATATCTAATCAACACCAGGCATTTTTTATTGTATTTTGGAATATACTAGCAAGAATTAATTTGAAATCGTTTTACTACATCCGGTTTTAAGATACCCTTTAAGAAGTGTGTTTATACAGTTATTTTTTTTATTGCATTACATTATCTTTTATTAATAAAAAGGACAGCGCGTTAATAACTCAAATTAACTAGAACTGTCACTGTCATGGCGTGAATACCCCTACATACCACTTTGTCAGAATCAACAGTGGACATTCAGAGCTCAAGGACAACCTCCCTGCCAAATCTGAGGTTACTAAGCCAGAGCATAGCTAGGTTATGTATTCTACATGTTTCAAATGTAAACATGTCAAAATCAATACACTGCGGACAGGCATTCTTGAGCATTTGAGCAGACAAGCTTATTATAGTAACAAGAGGACCCAGATGACCCTGAATCGCTCACCTGAGAAATAGGTTAAACGGTCAAAGTGGAGCCCCTTTTCACCCCATGAGAAATAGCGCAGAAAAAACACGCGAAAAACACCAGAGTTCTTTATGGAATTTATTTCTTTGAACAACTTTGGTAGACCTTCATGCAAGTAACATCCCTGCAAAGTTTCATCAAAGGCCAATTGGTTCAGGAGAAGAAGTTGTTTAAAGAAATTGTTGACGCACGGACTCACGCACGAACGGACGATAGACGACAGACAATGGGCCATCACAAAAGCTCACCTTGAGGACACTGTCCTCAGGTCAGCTAAAAAACCATGTGACCTTGATCTTTGACACAGTCACCAAAAAATCAATAGGGGTCATCGCCTAATCATAAACAACCTCAATACCATATTAAGACTGTTGACCAAAGCATTCTTAAGCAATTGAGCGGACAAGCTTTTTCAGTCAAGGCCCCTGTGACCTTGACCTTTGACCCAGATGACTTTAAAATCAACAGGGGTCACCTAGTGGTAATGATCAACATTTACGCCAAATATGAAGACTGTGGGTCAAAGGTTTCTTAAATTATTGGGTGGACAAACTTTTTGAAGTCAGGGTCCCTGTGACATTTACCTTTGACCAAGTGACCTCAAAATCAATTGGGTCATCTACTAATCATGACTAACCTCCATGCCAAATATAAAGACTGTGGTTCAAAGGATTCTTAAGTTATTGGGCGGACAAGGTTTTTTTAGTCAAGGCCAATGTGACCTTGACCTTCAACCCAGTGACCTCACAATCAAAAGGGATCATTTGCTATTCATGGCTAACCTCATTGCCAATATGAAGACTGTGGGTTAATGGAATCTTACGTTATTAAGCGGACAAGCTTTTTTAGTCATGTCCCCTGTGACCTTGACCTGGTGACCTCAAAATCAATAGGGATCATCTATTACTCAAGACCAAACAAAATATGAAGACTGTTGGTCAAAAGAATCTTAAGTTATTTGGTGGACAAGCTTTTTTTTAGTCAAGGCCCCTGTGACCTTGACCTTTATACCAGTCACTTCAAAATAACTTGAAAACACCCAATGGTCATGATCAACCTCCATGCAAAATATGAAGACTGTGGGTTAAAGGTTTCTTAAGTTATTGGGTGGAAAAACTTTTTAAAGTCAAGGTCCCTGTGACCTTGACCTATGACCCAGTGATCTCAAAATCAAAAGGGGTCATCTACTAATCATGAAAAATATCCATGCCAAATATGAAGATTGTGAGTCAAAGTTATCTTAAGTTATTGAGCGGATGTTTTTTAGTCAAGGCCCATTGACCTTGACCTTTGACCCAGTGACCTCAAAATCAATAGGAATCATTCGTTAATCATGACTAACCTCCATGCCAAATATGAACACTGTGGGTCAAAGGAATTTTAAGTTATTAGGTGGACAAGCATTTTTTAGACAAGGCCCCTGTGACCTTGACCTTTGACCCAGTGATCTCAAAATCAATTGGGGTCATCTTCTAATCATGACTTACCTTCATGCCAAATATGAAGACTGTGGGTCAAGGGAATCTTCAGTTATTACACGGAAAAAGTTTTTGTAATCAAGGCCCCTGTTACCTTGACATTTGACCTGATGACCTCAAAAACAATAGAGGTCATCTATAATAATGACCAATTTCTAAATACAAAATATGAAGACTGTGGGTCAAAAGAATCTTAAGTTATTGAGCGGAAAAGCTTTTTTAGTCAATGTCCCTGTGACATTGACCTTTGACTTGATGACCTCAAAATCAATAGGGATGGGATCATCTGGTTATCATGACCAATCTAAATAGTAAATATGATGACTGTGGGTCAAAGGAATCATAAGTTATTTGGCGGATAATAAAAAACCGATGGACGCCGGTCGGCCGGACGGGGTGACGGTCGAACGGCCGGACGGCCAAGCTGATTCCAGTATACCCCCTTACAACTTTGTTGTGCGGGGTATAAAAATACTACACAGGTAAAATACACGTAAATAACTCAAAACGTTTTGCACGATTGTAGAGAGAAATGGCAATTTTAAAATTAAAAAAAAAGGAAAAGAAATTGAACCAGGATTCGATCCTATATTTTCTCGAAGTGAAAGATTTTACCGACTGGGTTAAGCGGGATTTGTTAATTAAGACCATTTAACAACTGCAGATCTATTTACGGAATTTACCAACTAAAGGGTCAATTGCAAGAGTGCTAGGTCAATATTGTTTGACAATAACACATACTTGAATCATTTACAAAATGTTATGTATCATAAACTAGCCAAAAATAGAACCCTTAATGGTGTCTATGGTGGCATATTTGTTTTGTATGAACTGTTTCAACGTCAGATAGCCTTTAATTAACCTTAAATTATGTTCTATAGAAGTACACCCTTGATATAACAAGAGCGATCAGTAATCACATGTGTCGCCTCATGATGGCCAATTTCATGTTGGGACAAAGTTTGTGACAGACGGACAGACAGACGGACAGTGCACAACTAGACTTGGTACTGATCATTCCTGTAAAGTTTGGATAAAATTGCACCAGTAGTTTATGAGGAGTAGTCCGGACAAGCTTTTGCGTATCTGGCAACACACAGAAAAAACACCTTTTTATCAAAGGGCCATAACTCGGCCAAAAATCATTCAACCGGAAAACCCGTGCAATATGCGCAAGGACTTGAGCTACTGATCAATCCTGTAAAGTTTCATTGAAATTGCTTTAGTGATATAAGAGAAGTAGTCTGGACAAACTTTAAAAATAACAATTATTAAAGGGCCATAACTCTGAAAAAAATCATTGAACCGGAAAATGCTGATAATATGCACAACTACCCTTGGTACTGATCATTCCTGTAAAGTTTAGATGAAATTGCACCAGTAGTTTATGAGGAGTAGTCCGGACAAGCTTTTGTGTATCTGGCAACACACAGAAAATACACCTTTTTTATCAAAGGGCCATAACTCGGCCAAAAATCATTCAACCGGAAAACCCGTGCAATATGCGCAAGGACTTGAGCTACAGATCAATCCTGTAAAGTTTCATTGAAATTGCTTTAGTGGTATAAGAGAAGTAGTCCGGACAAACTTTAAAATTAAAAATTATTAAAGGGCCATAACTCTGCCAAAAATCATTGAACCGGAAAATGCTGACAATATGCACAACTAGACTTGGTACTGATCATTCCTGTAAAGTTTGTATAAAATTGCACCAGTAGTTTATGAGGAGTAGTCCGGACAAGTTTTGTGACGGACAGACGGACAGACAGACGGACGGACAGACAGACGACGGAGAAGTGATCCCTATATGTCGCCACTACTCCGTAGAGGCGACACAAAAAGCATTATTTATCTTCTTTTTGTAATGATTGTCATACCCATGTCTTAACGGTAAAGGCACGTGTCATTGAGCACACATTGTATTGCTTGTATACTATGCTCAACATGTTTACCATATCGTCAAAAAGCAATTGTTATAAAAAGATTCATCATGATCATTATTAGATCGTTTAAAACATTACACACCTCCTCTATTGTTTGTCACAGGTCTATATTTTTTGGATAGACCTGTTTAAACAAAAGATAGTCCGTTATGAGGTATATCTTTTGCACGTGCACTGGTCTGTTCTAGTCAGACAGACTAGGGCCCGTATTCAGAATCGATACTTACACTCACACTCAATGAGTAAATCCCATATAATTGCCTAACGGTTAAGACAGTCCTCACCTTTCTGTAAAGTGGTATTCAGATTATAAAGTAAGCGTCGAGTGAACTCAGGAAAGTTGAGAATCTGTGAATTTAGGAGGGGGCTACCTTGAGGTGTCCTCAATTAAATAATACTGAATACCACTTAGTTTTAAGTATTGATTTTGAATTTATTTTGTCCCATAAACATTTAAGTGCGTCAAATACGCGAACTGACAGTATTTTAGAAAATAAATGTTGAAAAACAGATACTTAGGAATAGAGATGATCCCATTAAATTTATATCAGAAGTTGAATTTTATCAAATATTTTGATTTTCAAAGGGGTGTACCCAGTGTGATACAATTAGTATGAACAAGAGTGTATTCAGCTCGCGGGATACCAGTACTTATGCCAAAAAAGAAATTAATTGATATAATTTCAAATTGGAAATTTCTTGAATTTCCTTTTATACATGAAAATGACTTTGCATGTGTTTGTCAATGTTACCAACAGTGAGTTTGGATAATTTGTCGTATTCTTCTAAATATAGGCATATGTATAACAGTTAGATACAAGTTATATCACCCTGTTTGAATTTTGGGATTGACATAGAATTCCCAATCCATATATGTTTGAAGAAATTTAAAAAAAATGACAGAAAAAACAATGGCATAAAGTGAGCGTTGACGTCCGTCTGAGTATTTTAATTAAAAAAACAACAATCAAAATCCAGGTAGCAAAACAATATCTTGAACATTTGTTTAGCATGATTTATGTAAAATACACTTTACTAAACGAGTATGGTGTTTCATTACTTAGATCCAGTTTGTAACTTTAATAACAGCTGATAATGAATTACCGCCCACAGTCGTAAGGTATTCCAGCATCACAATCAAACAGGGTCGTCTTGTTTGTTTGTTTTTGTTGTTTTAAGGGGGGACTTATGTATAAAATCATTGACTTTTGATTCAAGAAATTAAAAAGATTAGGATTATATCTTGCAAATACGAACAACAGTCTTGTTAAAAGCACGTTATGCATCTTTCTATTTTAATTCTTTAAAAAAATAATCAAAAACTATTTATAGTTGCACTGAACGTGCAGTAATGTGTTATGATGGTAGAAAAATGTTAACAATGTAGTATTTTGACTTTAATTCAAAATGATAATGCAATAAGTTATACCCTTTGCAAAAGTTGAAATTTTGAAAATAAAAGTGATAGAATTTCTGAGGCATAATGGGCCTTTAACATGTCATAAGATGATTAAAAAGGGAAACGTCACTGTGTATTGCAAACAAAAATTGCATTGACATAAAAATTGGATGCTACTTTTAAAATAAATGTAAAGCTATTGAAATGTTTTTTGTTTTTTTTTGTTTTTGTTGTTTTTTTTTTCAGTTCTAAATGCCTGTCATAAGCCTTTCACTACTTTCTTAGCTTTTTTTTCGTCCTATCTTTCAAATTTTCCAACATTATTTTGCTATTTTGGCATTTTTTGCTATTTTACTACTTGAAAACATTTAAATACTCTTTAAATGTCTCTGCATGCTTTTGTTTTATCGAACACACGTATAATTATTTAAAATCGTTTTTTTTTCTTTTCTTTTAAATTAAGATTTTTAATAATTAATTCTTTAACAAAATTGTTCGACTTCGGTGAAATACACTCTTTTAAACGACATGATTACACTTTTACAATGTATAGTAAGTGATGTTATGCAATAAAACCGATCGGTCAACTTTTGAAGTCTCCCTCACGAGAGAACAAAACCAATACCACTTTACACATTGTGAGTTACCTACCATATGTCTACTCCAGCGTTACTTGAGGCGACCTTTCGTGAGTTTGAGTCGAGATTGAGATTGAGTATCGTTTCTGAATACGGGCCTAGGTCATGAAATGCACGTGAAAAAATAGACCTGCCTATGCGCAGACAAAGAAAACATGAAATGCAATCAAAAATTAAAACCCTTTTAACTAAGCAATCATTCGAGCACCCCTATATTAGATCTTTCAATAAAAAAATGGATAGCATATCAAAGTTAAGAAACAATTAACATTTATTCTTTTTAAAGTAATAGTAATTCTGCCATTAAGTTCATAATATAACACAATGGATGCTTAAAGTTCATATCTATGAAACTATATAGCAGAAATCACAGCATACTCATTACAATTTTAAAATGTAAATAAAGTTAGTAGTGATTTAGTTTAAAACATTTTATGACGAACGATCATATTTTATTCTAGAAGATCTATATAATCTGCTATATAAAATATAGTATCTCACACTTTCCAACAATATACATATGTAAGTCTTTCGTGGTCTGCTGGGTATCCACACATTACCGGACAGTTGCCCCATCGAAAGTTTGCTCTCTTTCCTTTTTGCAGTGGCGGTCATTTGCCACCTCATATCTTTGGAAGGGGCGGACATTTTCCCCCTCCCCTCCCTGTTCTAAAAATATTTATTGTTGAATTGTTTGCTACCACAATTCATCGCCTATTTTCAAAATTTCATTGTGCTTAAATACACAAAAACTCTCGCGCAAATTTATGAAAGTCAAAATAGCATCCATAAATAAATAAAAACTAAAATGTTTCCATTGGCATACAAAAAAAATCTATACACGAGATGGCAAGTGACAAGTCACAACGGCAAAAAAGGGGGCAAACGTCCGGGGGGGGCAACTGCCCGGGGGCAAATGTCCTAGAATCTGCATTGTCTGATACGAAATACTATAAACATAATCATTCATTCTTCAACATACCTTTTATTACAGATCTATTAACTTTATTATTGACAAATTGCACATTGAGACTTTTTTAAAGTGAAGGCAAATTTAATTGCAAAATATATATATTGTATTTTTATTTTATAATAAGCAGAACATTGATAAAAGCTTACCTGTATAAGCGTTGTGTTAAAGATAATATTTGTGCATTTCATCAAATGCTTTGGATCAGCCATTGCTCAAGCCAATATAGTTTTAACGGTGTGTAAGTTGGATATTGACCTCGTACATCGATCTTTCTGTTCAGGAAAGGCCTGGTCACGAATTTCATGAAACACACGAAATTCGTGACCAGGTCTTTCCAAAACAGAAATATCCCGTACTCGGTCGATATCCTATACAGAAAATGTATACAGTAGATGTGTATGTTAAACTCTAAATCTTCATATCTAGTGGAAATGTTTATACATTGTTTGATATTTGATGACTACTAACTTGAAAATCGAGATGGCTATCGATATTGAACCGTGTCTACCCGATTAAACGCAATTTATATCATGCATGCGTTTTTGCTTGTGTCGTGTTTGGTGATCCTATCAGATTTTCCCCTGTTAACTTATTTTTTCTGAAGTTTTTCACAAAATTATTTTTCTCTCCCGTCGAATTACAGATGGTGTCCAACATGTTCTGCGTGGAGGACAGAACTAACCAAATTCTTACAGAATCCTGGAGCTAAGATTAAATGGCGGAACATGAAGAGTTGGAGTTGGCCAATAGATGTCCAAAATATCTCAGAAGTGTTTCTACCAATTTCATGGAAAAATAATGCAATTCATCTGAAGGATATATCAACAGCTTTAAGCATTTGGACAAACTGCTCCGAGTTTCCACTTTCTATTGTGCTTGACATCAACCCTATTAAAGAACTAAGAAACGACTTTGCTCATAAACACAAATCAAGCCAAAAGATTGGAGCTGTAGAAACTGAAAACATATTCATAACAATGTTTGACACATTGAAGGTTCCAGACATTAAAGCAGTCATTCCTATGTACACTCAATTAAAACAAAGTCTAAAGAAGCTGCGAAGGCATGGAATGAAATCTAAGGAATTTATTGAAGCAGTTAGTATAATGAAAGGGTTATTGAAGGAAAAAGATTATGAAAAAGATATGAATTCAATAAAGAAAGACATGAGTCAAATTCGCGAATACATGAAATTGATACTGGTTGTAATTCTAAGCATAATTGTAATATTTCTGGCTGCCATGGTTTACCCATATAAAGAACGCTTCCATTCAATCATCCATGCAGGCGAACCAGTACGGCTTTACAGAGCAACAAATAAAGGTATACAATTATAGACTTTATTAGCATCTTCTGCGAAATTTATATTTTAGTTCATCAAATAAAAAATAAAAATTATATATAGTTTTATGTAGGAGTGTCATTGCGACATAGATATATCGTGGATATTCAACAGTCGATTCAATATCGATTGAGAGGTTAAGAATATCTATACAATTAAGAATCCATTTCAAATAATCTCTTTATTTTTCTGAAGAAAATAGTCACTTCTGAAGAAAATTGTGACTTTTTCCACCGTTTCTTGGCTGGTTGGGAACCTGGATTTATTTTTCATTGAGGTCATTGGAACTCTATACCAAGAAAATATATACTTTCTATTAGTTCTGTAATATTACGTTACATAGTTGTGATTACTAAATCAAGCATATCTGACACCATGGTAACAGTTTTAGTAAGTATGTATCTCCAAATACTTTCCAATACACTAGCTATTTAATTCGATAAATCGATATATCGTTGATATTTGGCTTCAGATATATCGGTTAAAAATTCCCATCAATGACAGTCCTAGCCAGTTCTATGGTAAGATTGCTAATTTCAAAATATTTATTAATACAACTGTAGTTATAATTTATTCATTGCAGGTTGTCTATCAGATCAGCCATACCCCTTGTTTCCCGAGGCGATTCGGATGCATGGGTACATTTCAAAACATTCAAACTTTGTTGGTCGTGAATGGTTATTTGAACGCCTTGAACGTAGAATAGAAATTAATAAAACTATTAAAGGTGTATTAATAATAGCTGACATGGGTTATGGAAAATCAGCGATAATGAAAGATATAATTTGTGCCTCATCTGATCATGCAAGTTACAATTTAAAAAAACAATTAGCGGCTTATTACATTTGCCGATTTGATTCGTTAATCACAAAAAAGAAGCACATTTTCATCCGGCGATTAGCATCGATGTTTTTCGTGGAACATACCAGGCTTTTCAGACGTTCTGCGTGAGCATGAAAAGATTTGTATAGATCTTTTTCGCCCGGATAAATGTGAGGAAGATCCTATTGGATGTATGAATCATTGTTTGATATCCCCTTTGATGAGTTTACGTGCTGAACATAACGCTTCCTTTTTGATTTTGGTCGACGCTTTGGATGAATGTGATGAAAACCACCATGATGGTGGCATCGCTTACTTGTTGAAATCAAAGATGCATTTATTTCCAAGCTGGATACATTTCATACTGACTTGTAGGAAAACATCATATTGTTCTCAACTGACCAATCAAATGTATACTTTGAGTCTTAATTCCAATGATTCAGAAAATCAAAATGATTTGAAAATGTATTTTAGCACTCACAAAACTTCAAATGTTCGAGAAAACTTTCCAAATTTTCTTCTTGCGACGTTTCCTGTTGATATGCCGACAAAAGATTATCTCTCATTGGATATATTCTATGAAGAACAGTTTAGAAGACATTTTGGCGATGGCTTCGAGAGTGTTAGAGAGATATTAGAGATATTATGCGCATCCTTCGAAGCTTTAGAAGAACGTGAATTACAAAAAATGATTTCTCATTTCAATTCATACAAAACCAGCAGTTATGAAGGCTTGCTTTATAATTTATCAGAATTTATACATACAATCAAAGGAGAAATTCATCTCTGGCATTCATCTTTAAAACGTTGGTTGATAAATACAAAATCGAGGTTTAAAATAGATGTCGCAAAGGGTCATCATTATATTGCCAGCTACATTTTAAGACAAAAAGAAATAGAAGGGGATATGATAGATTTAGTTAATTTGGTACTTCATGCAGCTCTTGCAGAACAATTCAGTACAGACTGCCTTAACACGTTTGATGTAATGAAAATCAATGAAGATGTAACAAAACATAACTATCCTTTGCACCGCCTTGCCCGCCGTTTTGACAACTTTCTAGCAACAAAGCATCTTATAAAGCACTTTCCAAACTTAGAGCAAAGAGACAGCTTAAATGTTACACCGATATTTGTGGCTGCTACACATGGCAATCTAAATACACTAAGGGCACTAGTTCAAGCCAAATCCAATACAAATTTTAGGACACACTCATATATGCATGTTATACACCTTGACCTAGCTATAAAAATATCATTGGAAACACATCACTGGGATTACGGTATATTAGACATATCAGCGCAAAACGGGCATCTGGCAGTGGTAAAGTATATTGTCGAGAATTTGAATTATAATTTGATAAAAATGAATGGTATGAACCTGCTGCCAATTCATTTGTCTTGCAAGTATGGTCATGTTGGAATCGTCAAGTACCTGTATACGAAACATAATTGGACGATAGATACATTGTGCCTTTACTTTGCATCTGAGAACGGACATGTTGAACTAGTTTCTTATCTTTTAGAGATTGGTATCGAAGATAAATGTAAACCATGTAAAACATATCTTCATTTCATCCCAAGAGGAAAATCTCGAATTCAAGGCACCGCGATCATTTCAACTTCTGATGAAGAGTATCGACACAAATACGTTTTATATGATGACTGGAATCAGATCGCGTGTGAAACAGCGCTGCATGTAGCAGTTCGGAATAATCACTTTCATGTCGTAAAATTACTTATGAAAGACAAGTTTTCTAAGAATACTTCACTATGTTTTGATAGGGGTGGAAGGACACCGCTTATGTCAGCGCTGCAATACAACCGTTCTGATATTGCAAAAGTAATATTTGAAAATATGAATGTAAATTTAAGTTCAAAAAGTAGAAAACCAATACATGTAAAAGATATTACACAATTAAGCGGTGTGGAAAGAAAGGAATTAAACACTTACTATATTTGTGATAGATGTACAATAATACATGTAGCTGCATACTTTGACCGATCGTGGTTTGTTAAATATTTAATCGATCATCACACAGAACTACCTGATGTTAAGGATAATGCAGGATGTCATCCAGCTCATGTGGCCGCCTGTGTCGGAAGCACAAGTTTTTTAAATCGTTTGCTCGAAGTTAATTCAAGCCAAACATTACAGCAAAAATGTGATAATGGTTCAACACCCCTCGAATCAGCTGCCTCTTGCAATTCAATTGAAACTTTTAATATTCTTATGAAATCAACAAAACAAAAACATGCACTTTTAAACAAGGAGATGAGACAATCTATCATATTTAAAGCTTTAAATGGAACTCGGCATGATTTGCAGTTTGCAAATACGCAAATAAATGAAAGCACTCCAATAAATGAAAGCTTTGCATTACAAATTTTAGATGCAATTGAATTTTCCGAAAGTGATCTTGATTCTAAGAACATGCTTCATCAGAACATATTGCATATTGCCATGGAGAGTGGACAAATTGCTGTTATAAACAGATTGTTCTCTAATTATCTAGACAGGTCAAAGCATCTTATTACAGAGAAAGACAGGAATCAAAGAACCCCGATCGATCTAGCTATTGAACGAGTACTTTTCACAGAAAACGTTACTTTCCTAAAACATTATAGTTCTATTGAAAATAGTTTGACTCCTGTTGACTATGTAATATCCTTATCTCTGGACTTTATAGAAAAACATAAGCTTTTTACATACGAGTATATAAAACAACTTCTCCTTAAACTTTTGAAAAAGAACTGCAGTTTAGTAGTAAACAAATATTTACGAACTGATAAAAGATTTCACGGCGACAATGACTTTGTAAAAGATGTTCTTCAACAGGATTCAAGTACATTTGTGTCATCTTACATACTTATGCTGTGGTATTCTTATAGAATCGAGAAGCGTACGGACATTTCCATGTGTATTAACAATTGCCAGAAAGTAACGCAGCAATGTCACATGCATACCGTTGCACTAAAATATGGGGAAATAATTAATATATATAAAGAAATAACAAACGCTGACCTTTCAAAAAATATTGAAAACATAATTATGATGGATTTTAGATTAAATGCTCTTTATCCAGATATGCTCAGTACATGTAATGACGAAGAAGGCTATAATGTTCTAGAAAGGTCAATTCAAGGAAGAAGTGTCGAGCTGGTCAAATTCTTGCTGGGTATTGGTGTTAAAAGTTATAAAAGAAACGTTACAGATTTAATCAAATTAGCAATATATACGAATAAAGCAGATAGAGGTGTATTGGTCCTTTCGTATCCGATTGATACAAATACATCGCTCATTAAAGTAATTAGAAAATCAGGTTTGATGACAGTACTTAAAAACTCAAATCATGTTGACTTCTTAAGAGTAATATCTGAAATAAGCACGAAATATAATAAGTTTAAAAGAGATGATTCAGGGGCATATAAAGATGTTGACATTGTTGTCTCAACACTTGTCAATCATTATCATGGACAATTACTTCCAAAAAACATTTGTTCCCCCAACAGCACACAATTTTCATTGGTACATATAGCTGCAATGCATGGTCTTACATTAACCCTTTCAAACATTTCAACTTATTTTGGGGTTCAAGAATTACTATGTCCAAATTATCATTCTGTAACCCCACTCTTTTTGGCTCAGTTATTGAATCAGAAGGCAGCTGCGCATATGCTATCAAGTTCAGGGTCTCTACGCAACAGTTTTGATATTCATTTAAAGAACTTTTATTTTCATTTCTTTCTCACATTCTTAAAATCAATACACAAAGAAAGAAATGTGTTGTGTGTTTTCCAATACAACAACTTAATTCCTAGAAATATGTACAAAATGCTTAAGGCTTTAATATGCATACGCGAAACTGCTAGAACCTTAAAAGATCGTTGGTCACTTTCGAAAAGTTATTACATGATGAATCTTTACAATCTGTTTCAAATGAAGCAAATTTGTTCAAGTATATGCAACGAAATGGCACGTGAAAAATATATTGAATATAATCAAATTAATAACAAAACAAAGTTTACAAAATATGCGAAGAAAATGGACTTTTATATGCAAAGACTTATGGTGGATAACATACAGATACAATCTAGTTTTGGCAGAGAAATTTTAGATTCTATGATCAAAGAATATGTTTATATAAATACAGAGTGGAATATTAATCCAACACGCATCGGCGAGTACTGTCATAAATATTGGGACAACCGTTGTGAAGTTGGTGAAAAGCTAAGAGAATTCATAGTCAGAGTGCATAAAACATTTGATGAAAGATACACTTTTGGTTTCTTGCGAACCTTGTTGAGGCAATTTTCTTTTCGTATTAAGGTTGATATTTTAGTAGAATTCATTTATATTTCAAGTGGAACCTTCTATCATATAAATTATTTTAACGAGGAGTTAACATCTTATTTTAGCTCTTTTCGATATAAGCCAGCATATAATTACTTATCTGAAATGAAGCAAATGCCATTTTTTCAAGATGCGTTGAACTTGGGACTTAAACATATCAAAAGTAAAGAGGGGTTTTATATCATTCATGAGATTGTAAAATCACTAGAATACATGAATTTTAGCAGGAAAGCTGATGACATTAAACAGGAATACGAGAAGTTTAAACAATATACTTGATCCTTTTTATTAAATGTTCTTGAAATTTTGTCACAAAAATCATCACTTTACTATTAAGTTTATCAAACTTTACTACACTAAATATATTGCAATAAAATTGTTTACATTTATTGCATTCCATATATAAATATTATTATATCTTGATGTTTATCCTTTCTATGTTACCTATTGAAACTGCAACATTTAGACCAAATGTTATATGATCCTCAATGGTTACCACAAAGAATGTAAATAAAATATATAAATATTAACACAAAATAATGAATAAACTTAATATACAATATTGTGTTTATTTTCATTGCATGTATAATTGTGATTAAGTTAAACCAGATGTGTTACTAAAGATGACATATGCCCCTAAAGATTATGCTATGCAGCACAGTCTATGTTAGGTTCAAAATGTTTAACATTTGAGCCACTTGCGGAACTAGACAGGAAAGTAGACATGACCATTCTGCTGCTTTTTTGTTAACAAAATTGTGTAGTGAAATTCTTATTTTATCCACTTATCTGATAATTAGAACTAGAACTCCGCAAGTCGGATGTGTCGCCTTGTGAACAATATAGTTTAGGAGAAATGGCCAGGACAAAAATGAAATACGAAAACTAACAAAGGGCAATAACTCAAAAAATAATAAGTGCAGAGCAGCAGTTTCTATATGCACTGCACTTCTTATCAATAAGATCTATCATTCTATGAAGTTTCAAGTCCATATCTTTTATAATTTATGAGAAATGGCCTGGACAAAAATAAAGTATGAAAATATATAAAGGGTAAAAACTCAAAAATAAGAAATGCAGAGTACCGGTCCTTGTACACTGCAATTATTTTTAATGAGATCTATCATCCTATGAAATTTCATGTGTATAGCTTTTAAGGAAAAATGACCTGGACAAAAATAAAGTATGAAAATTAACAAAGGGCAATAACTCAAAAAATAAGAAATGCAGAGTACTGGTTCTTGGGTACTGCACTTCTTCTTAATGAGATCTATCATCCTATAAAGTTTCAAGTCCATAGCTTTTATACTTTTGGAGAAATGGCCCGGACAAAAATAAAGTATGAAAATTAACAAAGGGAAATTAACTCAAAAATTAGGAAGTGCAGAGTACTTGTTCTTGTGCATTGCACTTCTTCTTAATGAGATCTATCATCCTATGAAGTTTCAAGTCCATAGCTTTTATACATTAGTAGAAATAGCCCGGACAAAAATAAAGTATGAAAATTAACAAAGGGAAATAACTCAAAAATTAGGAAGTGCAGAGTACCGATTCTTGTGCACTGCACTTCTTCTTAATGAGATCTATCATTGTATGAAGTTTGAGGTCCATAGCTTTTATAGTTGAAGAGAAATGGCTCTGACAAAATTAAAGTATGAAAATTTACAAAGGGCAATAACTCAAAAATTAAGAAGTGCAGAGTACCTGTCCTTGTGCACTGCACTTCGTGTTATTGAAAGAAGCATGCATACCAAGTTTGAAGTCAATCCAACTTAAAGTGACTGAGTTATGCTCCAGACAAGCTTTAGGGGACGCTGACGCCGCCTACAAAAGTAATCCCTATATGTAACCTTTTCAAGGCGACACAAAAAGTCAAGTCAGGGATCTATGCATAGTATCAGATCTAGTGCCTGATGCAAGGATGCATGCTGGTTAACATTTGTTACAAGTAATTCAAACAAGAGGGTCATGATAGCCCTTATTGCTTGAGCAATAAACCATTTAAACAAGCTTTTAGACAAATTTCCAGGATAGCCTGGCTATAGACTTAAACCTAGTTTTAAAACTCATATGACCCTTATTCAACTTGCTCTAAAAATTATCAGAACGACTCTTATGACTTCTAGAAAATATTTGGGCTGAAAATACATTTTGAGTGTTAAGTAGGTCTGAAGATTGATGTTATATGCAAAATTTCTACCACGGATATTCGAAGGGCCACAAATCCATCAAATTCCAGCCAAAGCTATGATCGCTGATCATGAATTTTGAGCATTTATATTCAGTCAAAATCCTTGTTAGAGTGGTCATGGGTAGTGGACTTTAATTATGACAAGCAATAATCATAGTAATGCTATCAATCCAAAAGTCCCCTGCCGGTTAGCACCCCAGCAATATTAGAAAGGGCCATTGGTCATTCAATTATGCCATGAATGAATGAATGAATGAACATAAATCTTTTGAGTTCTTAGTTTGTCTATATCTTAGTAATGTGATAAGTTTCCATGCCTATATAAATGAAATTATGTTTATACAAGAGATAATCAGAAGATTCAATTTTCTCAGGATGAGTATTTATAACTAATGTGGCATTGTTTCTCTAATTTAAGTAGATTTTATGGAAAAGTTCTTTAAAAGTGATCTCAGGAAACAGTTTTTCAGAACAGACAGACAGATGAACTAACAGACATTCTGAGGGTAAATCTTAATGGAAGCTAGAAGTTTGAGCAAAATATAATGGTTTCTAGCAAAATATCTAAGTTCAAGGGGGATTCTGGAAATAAGTCAAGCTAGAGCACTGAACCTTCTCCTTAATAATTTGAGAGATAATAATACACATATATATATATGAAGTTTGAAGTATATAAATTAGGAAATGAAGAAGTTTAAAAAAACAACATTTTTTTTCATGAAATTTCTAAGTTCAAGGTGTGTAATTCTAATATTGTTTGTGCTAGAACCTTGTCACATATGTGGTTTATGATCAGAAACATAAATTTGAAGTAAATATCTTAACAAATAAAGAACTTATAGTGAAAAAGCGTAAAAATCTTGATGAGGTGGCCAACGCTTGGTGAGTAGAAACAATATACTCCCTATAGTAAAGATCAACATGATGTGTATTATATCCATACTGCCATCTTTCCATATTTTAAGTTTCATAAAATGTTTTCCATACTTTTTAAGTAATCACAAAATTGTTATTTTGCCATATTTATAAGTTATTTGTTGCCATAGCAACAAAATTTTTCAACATAGAAAGAAAAGAAAAAGATGTGCATATTCTCCAGACTGTCATCTACTCATATTTCAAGTTTCATTTAAATATTTTGAGTACTTTTTGTGCTATCACTGGATCCAGTTTATGTGTTAAATTAGCATATTTTCAGTCTATTTGTTGTCATGTTGTCATAGCAACCAGAGTTTTCAACATAGGATGAAAAGAAATAGACTTGCATAATCTCCATATTGCCATCTATCATTATATCAAGTTTCATAAAAATATTTTCAGTACTTTTTGTGTTATCCCGGGATCCAGTTTTATCGACGGACGACAGACAGACGGACGGACAGAGGGTAAACCTTAAGTCCTCTCCAGTTAAACTGGTAGGGGAATGATAAAAAAAATGTTTTAAGTGAATAGCTTCTACAGTTCTAAAGATTGATGTTGCATGCAGTTTTTGTTTCATTGACAATGGGTCATAATTCAGTAACAGAAATCGCTCACCTGTATAAAGGCCCCAAGGGTGGGGCCAATTTTAACCCATGGGCTTTTATTTGAACAAACTTGGTAGACACCCATTTGAAGATGTTTCATGATACATATCTAAGCTCTAGCTCTAATAAGACTTTTTAAGTTTTTACTATACACATATAGGGAAAAACAATGACCCCCCTCTGGAAGGGCCAATTTTGTCCCCAGGGCTTTCATTTGAACAAACTTAGTAGACATTCACTAGAAGATAATTCATGCTCAATAACTAAACTGTAGCTCTTTGGTTTTTTTTAACAGAAGATTTTTTAAGTTTTTACTATATACATATAAGGAAAATCAATAATCCCCGAGGCGGGGCCAATTTTAACTCCAGGGCCCTTATTTGAACAAAACTGGTAGACACCCATATTGCTAAATATCTTAGCTCTAGCTCTAAAGGTTTTTTAAAAGAAGATTTTTTAAGTTTTTACTATATACATAAAGGGAAAAACAATGACCCCCTGGGGCGGGGCCAATTTTTACCCCAGGGCTTTTATTTGAACAAACTTGGTAGACACCCACTAGAAGATGTTTCATGCTTAATATCTAAGCTCTAGCTATTTGGGTTTTTTAAAAGAAGATTTTTTAAGTTTTTACTATATACAAATAAGGAAAATCAATGACCCCCCGGGGCGGGGCCAATTTTGACCCCAGGGCATTTATTTGAACAAACTTGGTAGACACTGACTAGATGATGTTTCATGCCAAATATTTAAGCTCTAGCTCTTTCGGTTTTCTAAAAGAAGATATTTTAAGTTTTTTCTTTCGGTTGCCATGGCAACCAGAGTTCTGCTTGGAATTAAATTCTTTGAACAATTTTTAAAGTTGACTACCAAAGGAACATTCCTGTGAAGTTTGGATGAAATTGGCTTAGCGGTTTATGAGGAGATTTCGTTTAAAGTGAAAGTTTACGGACGGACGAAAATCGATCACAAGAGCTCACCATGTCACTTTGTGACAGGTGAGCTAAAAATAAAAGACAAGAGTTATGAACCTTGGAAAGTGACATCCAATTATGATCTCACAGACATGTGTGAAGTAAAAAAACAAATTTATTTTGTGACTGACAAGATATGATATCGTACATGAAGTTGCACATAAACTTTCAACCAAATTGTTATATAACAGTTGAGGCTCAGGTAAGAAGGACAGCGAGACTAAACTTACGCTATTACACTTTTGTTTTATTACTCTCATCATACACTTTAAACCACAAAACACCTTATGAAAAAATAGCATTGAAAAAAGTAACTGTTGCCTATTGTTATCCACTGTGGCAACCCAAGTGACTGTTTCTACATACATACAGACAGAAAATGCTTCTCTTCAGAATCTGTGCATCAAATTTAGTTTCAATGAAAATTACCGAGTCTTTTTAAACTAATAATAATGTTTTACAGTATTTTAAATGTATAAGATCATCAACACTTATTTTACAGTGATTTTTGCAGCATTTTTATCTGACACAGAATACGAGTCCCATTTCTTCTCAGGATCGTATGGCTCCCATCGACTAGCAGGAAAAATGTGTTTACTTCTCTCGTACCAACTTCTTATACAAACTTTTCCAGCATGAGACTCTTCCTTCTCTACAGAAGCATCATTAATTATCCGAATATCATCCTTCACGTTAAAATTAAAAAGAGGTCCACTTTTACCACGTGCCTTTGTTACAATGAAATCATAAAATGTGTAATGATGAGGAATGATCAAGTCTTCTTTTACGTACATTAGCTGATCAACTGTCACTGCTTTTAAATCATTAAACTCCCGACGAAGAGTTTCCAAACATTTCTGTAGGAACTGCTGAATACTGTTCCCTTTTTTCATACGTACTTGTCTACGATGGCCAGAGCCATCCCAGTAACTATATGTAATGTCTATTTCCTCATTTTTTACGTGCTCTTGTTTCTGCATCCATTCCTGTGCTATCTGTTCTCTGCAATAATTTCAATATTTAAAAATTAGCTGATAAAAAAATGCTTACATATTAGTTGTAGTCTGGTTTTCTGGGGGTTTATTGTGCTATGTTTCCCTCTTACACACATCATATTTTAAAATCCATTCTACACAAAACAACAAACTTAAGCCTTACAAATTGGTAAAAATATCCACTAATTTCAAATTATATTGTATATAAATTTCCCATAACCTATATTTAGTATACTTTCTGTCACATGAGAGATTTTTCAATTCTGATATTATTAATTGACACAATAACAATATGGTGTCTCATATACATGCTCATAAGGTCCATAATCCTTAAACTAAACAAGCAAATTCGTTGAATTTATATCCCCCGCCGAGTACTGGTTATTATTAACACAACAACTGAAGACATAAGGCTTTATTTATATATTAATCATGGCATAAACAGTAATATTCTTTGAACTTGATAAATATTCAGGGCAATAACAGAGCCATAACTTTGTGTTAAATAGTAAAATCTGGAAATGCCAATGAGATGTATGCAAACTACATAACTAATCAAGGGCCATAAATATGAGTTATAAGTATCAGACTGGAACAAGGCGACTACATGCACATCTCCTCTTAGTATCCCATAAAGTTTCATTGAATTCCAGCCAGTAGTAGCTGAGAAGTAGCGAGGAAACAAATATTTTTCTAGATGGATACTGCATAAGTAATCAAGGGCCATAACTCTGAGTTAAAGTGTCTGACCCGAAGAAGCCGACGATATGCGCATCTCCTCTTGGTATTGAAGGTTCCCATAAAGTTTCGTTGAATTCCAGCCAGTAGTTGCAGAGATGTAGTGCGGAAACGATTTTTACTCTATATGCATACTACATAACTAATCAAGGGCCATAACTCTGAGTTTAAGGGTCTGACCGGAACAAGCCGACGATATGCACATCTCCTCTTGATATTGATGATTCCCATAAAGTTTCGTTGAATTCCAGCCAGTAGTTGCAGAGAACTACTCCGGAAACGATTTTTACTCCATATGCATATTGCTAAACTAATCAAGGGCCAACTCTGAGTTTAAGTGTCTGACCCGAACAAGCCGACGATATGCGCATCTCCTCTTGGTATTGAAGGTTCCCATAAATTTTCGTTGAATTCCAGCTAGTAGTTGCAGAGAAGTAGTGCGGAAACGATTTTTACTCTATATGCATACTACATAACTAATAAAGGGCCATAACTCTGAGTTTAAGGGTCTGACCGGAACAAGCGGATGATATGCCCATTACCTCTTGATATTAATGATTCCCATAAAGTTTCGTTGAATTCCAGCTAGTAGTTGCAGAGAACTACTCCGGAAACGATTTTTACTCTATATGCATACTACATAACTAATAAAGGGCCATAACTCTGAGTTAAAGGGTCGGACCAGAACAAGCCGACGATATGCGCATCTCCTCTTGATATTGATGATTCCCATAAAGTTTGGTTGAATTCCAGCCAGTAGTTGTAGAGAACTACTCCGGAAACGAAATTCGGACGGACGGATGGCCGGACGGAAGGACAACGCCAAAACTATATCCCCCTCCCGATTCCATCGGCGGGGGATAATAAATTAGAAGTAAGCTCAAAGGTGTATATGTATCAATTATCAATACAAACAATAATAATTACAACAACAAGTAAATCAAGAGGAGAGAACACACGATAATAGTTACAGTATAGTTCTCAAGAATGAATCAAACATTAAACACATCTAACAAATGAAAAGACATTATTTAACTCAAAAATACGCTCAGTGTATAGAAAAAGAATATTGCAATGACATCAACAATTATGATGAGTCTCTAAAAACAATGTCTCAGTCCAAATCTGCTGATAAATAATTAAGCTTTAGGTATATTTTAGGTATATTTTCGTAAATTTGACCCATATGCAGGTTTTTTTATTTTAATCTCAGGCATCAGATGTGCCAATGAAACCAATCTGTTCATAATGAAAACCATACAGATTGTCAAAGACACAAGGTCTAGTTTAAGTTTTGAATGGGCCATATTCCATTAAGTTAAAATATAGCATATAGCATATGGGTAGATTGTGTCTAAGTAATAACACTTAAGCTTACAGAATGAATTTTTCACGGCCAAGATTAAAAATATGATAAGGAATACTAACAGTCAGGCAAGAGAAAGACATGCCGATCTATGTCAGTCAAGATATAAAACAATTTGCTCTATGCAACCTTAAATGATGTATTATCAAGGTGATAAATGTTCATATTACTACAGGGCATGTATTTCTAATACTAGAGAGACAAGTGAGACAACCATTTGTTACCCAGTAATTCTCATACAGTAGGGTAGGATTTTGATTAGTATTGATAAAATCCGTAACATTAAAGGAAACTTCTGAAATGCACATTATCAAACATAATAATATTTTTAATATTTATAAAGAAATTGATTGCTAAAATTCTTCCATAATCTTAATGGAAAAAAATGTTGCATCAAATACCCAAAACTCAAATGTACTTCTTTCATAATTTAGTAATAAATTATATACATGTACTTGTAGTATACCTGAGTTTGTTTTCTGCCTCCTCCCTGTCCCTATCTGGTAGGAAACTGGTGTCTACATCAGGATTCATACCTTGATAGAAAAATAAAAGTACCTGTAATTTTGATAATGTTTTGGCAGTTTTGGGTGGTTCTTTTTTGTTTTTCTCTCCCTCTTTTTTTTTTTACAAAATTCCTATCAGTTACATATAGTATGTTTTTATTGGATGGGAAGTTACACCTTTGTATCCTGCATAATAAGCTAAATTTTCCCACAGGTATCTGAAAGTTTCTCAGCTAGAGTTACTTAAATGAATAGTCTAAGACTAATAACATTAGAATATTGTTGGGTGGTACTTAATAGGCCATATGGTGTCATCAAAGCTTTATTGGCAAAGGAAGACCTAAGATGCTATTGAATCAAAGGCCCTCAACCAAACACACATAGCAAATATCATGATAAGAAAATGTGAATTTAAGTCATAATAAAATCAATGTTACCAAAAGATTTCACTCCTGAATTTGTAGACTGAAAAAAAGAGCACCACACAAATACTGTATTCCTGTATATACCGGACACGGCGCTTGAATGATAAAATGCTGAAATCTTGCATTTTTACCCAACAGAATGAACTTTAAAAGGTCCAATTCATCTTTACACACTGATTTATGTATGATAATGAATGAAAAATTTGAAAATCCGGGAAAAATATGATATTTGTCTATTTTCTGATAATAATTTCTGCAAGTGTCTAGAGGTACTGCTCAAATCCTGTATTGAGTTAAATCGGTATAAAATATCTTCTAGCCACAGACATAACAGAATATACATAGATTTGTTATTGACAGACTGTAAACTGGAAGAGAAATTTTCTGTCATAATTACTGATAACAGCCCAGACAGTGAAAATTCATCACCTCTGTCAACGTGTCTTTAAGCCTGCTGTATCTAATGATTCAATAATTGTAAAAAATATGAAATATTGAATAATTCTCCTACCAAGACGTTTCTTTTTATTTAATATATCAACTGGTTCTTTTTCCTCTTCTTCTTCTCCTTCTTCTTCCTCTTCATCTTCCTCCTCGTCTTCATCAGGGTCAAATGATAATGCAGCTATCTGTACATAAAATGAGCCGCGTCATGACAAAACCAACGTAATGTGTCTGCGACCAGCATGGATCCAGACCAGTAAAGTAAACTTATAACATGATATCAAAAGTACACACAAGGAACATAAATTTCTGTTCTGGAGATACATTTATCACTGATGAAGCAATTATGATATGCTAATAAAAGTAATTAGGAATGAAGATATTGTCAAAGTCATTTTTTAAATATCAATTTCAATTCTTTTCTAAATAAAAATATATCAAAGAGCATTAGAAAATTGAATTATTCAACAAATGCCATAATCTAAATCAAATTCAATAATTCTTTTGAAACTTGACAATTAAAAGACTCTTTGAGGGCACTGTTGAAAGTCCATTAATATGTGTAGGTGGAAGGCATTAAACAAAGCATATAATCATCATATAAGGTAGAAATGAAGGTTGTCTGACAATTACTTATCTTAAAACTATAGTTAACATGCTTTGCTTCAAATTCAGAATGCTAATTCTTAGTTATAATTAACAGAACAACAAAAGTAATAAGGTCCAAATTCTGTACAACTTATAATAAATATTGGCCCTGTTCAATTGCATAGAACCTGGTAAGGTTGCATGATGATGTGAGTAGATGAAAAATAAGATGATCACCCATCTCTTCTCAGATGACATTTGATTTTCAATATCACATCTAGACCTCAAAATCTTACAAGTTACCTTCATTTTCTCTTTACGTTTTTTATCTTCTTTCTCCTTCTCAATCAAACGTGCTTCTGCATTTTTCTTTGCTAGTTGTTTCTCTCGCTGTTTTATCAATGTTTCTTGTTTGGCTTTCATTTCATCCAGTGTAACCAAACCTTTGTGGAAACAAAGAAACATGACATATTACAAGTACATGTATCCTATATTGTAAACTCAGCATAGTTGAAATATTATATGCCATTGAAGAGCAAATCAATTGGATGGACATAGAGATAACAATAATTCACATTTACAGCTACATGATACTGCTTAACAACCGATAATGATGATAAATAGCAGGAGAATGTTTATGATCCCATATTACCAATTCAAGAAGAATTTTGCCAGTTTGATAACTCTAGTCAGATTTTTATAAAGGTGAGAGAAACAGGTAATTCTAATAAATGAAAATCTGCAAGATCATGAGACTAATTTCTTTCTTAGCCCTGTTTCCATCATCACACAATTCATATGTTTGAAGTTACACTTAAATGAAAATAATAGCATTAGTATGGAAGCACACTAAAATTCTTTTGTTTTATTATTCGATAATTCCTGAATGTTGAAACATACCAATTGTGTTTGATTTTAATTGCTGTTCAACTGCATCATAATGACTGGCAAATTTGTTTTGAATACTGCCCACACTAAGATCTTCCTCTATCTTCTTTCTCTTCATTTCCATCTCTTCTTGTTCTTTCTGTCGTTTCTTTATCAATATCTGAGCACGACCACCCTCAGACGCAGCTCCTTTGTAGTGAGCCATTTCCTCTTTGCTCAATTTAATATTTTAATCAAATATTAAAAAAAACCTGCAAAGTTAGATAATTTTTGTCTATCATATATAGGGCTGTCATTGACGGAAATTTTTCTATCGATATATCGAGAGACTTTGACAGTAGATACAATGAACAAGAAACATGGCAATGCCATGAAACCAGGTTTTCAATTATCACCATTGTAGATAAATATGTTGTATTTGAAATACAAATACAAGCAACAAACAATGTAACTATGTGCAATGTAAAACATGAATAATGAAGGAGGAATTGCGCACAGAAGAAGTGTTCACTATATATATTCTGTATAAGGAAAAAAAACAAAGGGCCATAATTAGGTAAAAAATTATTCAATCACAAAACCCCGACAATATGTGCCAGGGCACTTGATGACAAAGCTTCCGTGAAAGTTTGAACAAAATCCATTGAGAAAAGTAGGAAGAGTTCAGCACAGAAGAATTTGTTCAATTCTGTATAAGGAAAAAAAACAAAGGGCCATAATTAGGTCAAATATTATCCAATCACAAAACCCTGACAATATGCGCCAGGGCACTTGATGACAAAGCTTCTGTGAAAGTTTGGTCAAAATCCGTTGAGAAATATAGGAGAAGTTGCGCACTGTAGAAATTGTTCACTATATATTCTGTATAAGGAAAAAATATACAAAGGGCCATAATTCGGTCAAATATTATCCAATCACAAAACCCTGACAATATGTGCCAGGCACTTGATAACACAGCTTCTGAGAAAGTTTGGTCAAAATCCGTTGAGAAATGTAGGAGGAGTTGTGCACAGAAGAAATTGTTCACTATATATTCTATAAGGAAAAAAAACAAAGGGCCATAATTAGGTAAAATATTATCCAATCACAAAACCCCGACAATATGCGCCAGGGCACTTGATGAGCAAGCTTCTCTGAAAGTTTGGTCAAAATCCGTTGAGAAATGTAGGAGGAGTTGCGCACAGAAGAAATTGTTCACTATATATTCTATATAAGGAAAAAAAACAAAGGGCCATAATTAGGTCAAATATATACTAATTGCAAAACCCTGACAACATGAGCCAGGGCACTTGATGACAAAGCTTCTGAGAAAGTTTGGTCAAAATCCATTGAGAAATGTAGGAGGTGTTGCGCACAGAAGACATTGTTCACTATATATTCTATATAAGGAAAAAAAACAAAGGGTCATAATTAGGTCAAATATTATCTAATCTCAAAACCCCGACAATATGCGCCAGGGCACTTGATGACAAAGCTTCTGTGAAAGTTTAGTCAAAATCCGTTGAGAAATGTAGGAGGAGTTGCGCACAGAAGAAATTGTTTACGCCTGTCCGCCCATCCGCCCGCCCGCCGACATACCTCAATCTAATAACCAGTTTTTTCCTTCGGAAAACCTGGTTTAAAACCTGGTTAAAAACATGTGTGGAATCATGGTGTTATGTATGCTTTTCTTAGACATTACAAATACTTCAAACTAACAAAAGTTTGTTTTTTTTCTGTTATTTTCGTCACTGACATTATTAAAAAAAGTAGTTTAAAGTTCAAGTTAGCGAAGAGAACTTGAAAGAATGTGACTTCTCTTCTAGGTAAAATAGAAAGGTATATTCACAGTCACTCGATATTTGAAAGTGTGTATCAATATTGTAGCGAACAATGAATATCGATGATGAGATGTTCAATGACAGCCCTAATTATGTATTGCTTTTTACAGATAAATTCAACACATTTGTTAAATATTATACGTGGAATGCCCAAGAGGGCTGTAGCACTCTTAGATAACATGTATGATGTGTGTAAGTTAAATTGAAATCACATTAAAATCAATAAAAAAATGTATGTACAAGTGTAAGACCATTGCTTTTGTAACAACATGCTCAGTCTTAAATTTCCTGTTACCATGGCAACTAGGGGACATCTCAAAATTGCCAAAAATCACTACTTTGCATCGATGTTTTCCATCAAAATTGATTTTCAGCGTTGGTTACATGTTACCTTATGATCGACCTAGGCAGGGATTTACCAACCCTTTTTATATTTGGGGTCCATTGGACGCAGGATCTATGAAAACAGGGGTCCACCACAAAATTTTGGGGGTTCTTTCCCAGACAATTTTCGAAATTGCTGACTGCTCACAGAAGAAGTACACTAAGATTGCAATATAAATGACTATTGTAAACAATTTTAGATTTATTTCTCAAACAAAAACAAAAAACAACTTTTTAGTATTTTGACAAGAAACATTCGTTCATTCGAAGTTCTTATCACTTGTATCTATCTAACCAGACAGACCGGAATGTTGTGTCACATTTCTGTTTTGTGGATTGTTAAGATGATGTACTCGTTCAGTTACAGGCGACGAGACAGGCTCATTGTCATCTCATTTTTGTTTCGGACCACCCCCACCCAAAAACTTCTTAAGTCAGCCTGTTTTGCCATCATTTAAAGTACTGTCATAGATAACAGCAACAACTGAGCGCTCCGACTGATAATAATATCCGGGACACGTGGGTGCTCACTAATGATTGGTTGGTATTTTAAATGCGGAAATTAACTAGCCAATAAACTGATGCGTTACTTTAAATACCAATTGGTGATTCCCATGACCTTCACCACTAACCAAAACATTTTAGATATCGTAAAAATACGGAAAGGAGAGTTACTCTAAACAATTTTTGTGTAATTATTAAAAAATATGGAAATGACAGTTACTTTAGACAATTTTTCTGCGTCCATGTGTACGCAGAATTTATTTTTTGTGCGTACAGGATGGCATTTTATGCGTATATGACGCAGGATCCTTGCTAGGGTCATTTTTAGCCTCTCACAAGTTAAAAATTTCCTCGGTGATGAGGGGGGCTACCGCCCCCCCTTCAAATCCCCAATCAGGAGGGGGCATACACCTTCTGGCAACCCCATGATGTATCTTTTGGATAGGGGGCAGCGCCAAAAAAGTGGTCACTTTTTTAAACAACATTTCTCAAACAAAACAAGTGTTGGGGGCCTAAATAAGGCATTTTTTTTTAACTTAAAAAGGCGTTTAAAGTGTGTATATCTTGTAATGGGTTTTTCAGAGACACTCAGTGTTTCCCACCTAACTAGACGTGTACTGGTAATAAATCAAGTTAATCCTCGCATGTATCAGTCCTATAAAGTAAACTGGGCATGTAAAAGAACCAAGGGGTCTTTTCAATAAGAGCTAGGTAGGGACTGGTTCCCGGATTCCCTTGTAAATCAGCTTTCTCTGAAGTAACTAATCTAAAGTCATGCCCTAAAGTCATGTCTACGTCCCCGCGAGGGGTTTGACATTAAAATTATGGAAGATAGATAGATAAATTAAATGTAGAACAGCTTTCCGCATCAAAGGTAGTACCTTATTTCATATATATATATATTTGTAAAAATATAAAGAACCAAACACTATCATATCAAAATCTATAATTCTGTGGCGTCTGCATCTCAGATGCATCTAAACCACCACATCCTAATTCTTATATACAAATTGTGTGCGTATCCGAAATACGAACAAATATCACATTCCGATTCAAGTTATTCAGGAAAAATGATCAAAGCCAATTTCTTTACAGCTTGGTTACATTTTTTAAAAGAAATATAAAAGTTTTTTAAAATAATCTATGTATACTTTAATTAATGTACATTAAAGTAAAAAAACTTAAAGAAATTAAAAATCGCAATTACCGGAAATTAGGATATTGTGCAAGGATACCCGAAAATTATACTTCCGTAGAAACAAATATGGCGCTCGCAACGCGTCTTCAGCAACCAATCGAAGACAAATCTCCAAGTGACATAACGTTAAACCTTTCATCATTGCAGTTTGAAAGTGCATTAGATCAAGATGAAAAGGAACTCCAATACCTCAGGAAGCGGGCACATGCGTTGACAGTGACGTCATGCGCACAGGCTACTTATCTGGTGTCCATTTTACATGAAGCAAGGTGTTTCTTTCATTTCTTTTGACTATTCATGCGCAATTTTTAAATGAATCTAAATAAGGATATACCGACACGAATATAACCCTTTTACTTGATTTTTCAATCTGTTTTACGTCTGTCTTCCATTTAATAACAAATATATAATATGAAAAAGGCAAAGCCTCAAAGCGAGCTCGATGTACTTTTTACGTGAAATAGCATAAATAATCGCTCATTTTTATTTTAAATGCAGTAACGAGTGCGTGTGACGTCATACGTACTGTGTTAAATGTGGCTCCGCCCCTGTCGTGAAATGAATAACGAGTTTTGAAAACGTTGATAAAACTTTGTTTATTTTCTTTCACTCTATAATTTTTCAAGCGAAATAAAGATTATTTAAAGTGAAATAAATGTAAAACTTAAAACGTTTGCGACATTAAAATAGCGTACTTGATTTGTTTGTTTTGCACGTACTGTTTGGCGCTACATTGTGACGTCACGTAAACAATACTTTAAACGTCTGTACAGCGTTAGCGACTGAATAAAAGATATTGGTGTTCGGATTCATTTTCTTAGTTAGACCATTTTCTTTCATTCTAGATAGTTTTCACAACAAAATTCGACAAAAAAATTGTTGTTTTTTTTTTATCAGATTTCAAGCAAAATGGCGCCTTCGATTTTCATTTTTTATACACAGCTTCCGTTATTCTGGTTCCCTGTCCAATTATGGTTCCCATAGACGTGCGCGGGTGACCAGTCTACACATCCGTTTTCAGTCAGAATTCCTCAGTTTTTATCGTTATCTTTAAATTCGAAAAGTTGCGATGTGTCCAATTCGGTACTTTGGTCGAAAATTTTCAAAACCATCACTTAGCAGGTACTCGCGTTACCGTAAAGCTCGCTTTGCGAGCAGGCCCTTCGGGCCAGCTCGTCGAGGTCGCTATAATATTCTAAATCGCAAAGATTCTTCAAGGTTTATTTTATACCATTAAGATTCAATTTACTCACAGACGCTAAAATTGGGGGTCAGATCCTGTCCCTCAACTTGATACGCCCCTGTAAACACTCTTTCAAAACTATTTTAATATATTAACACGAATGGGACATCTATCACAACAATAAAAATGGTTTTCAAACAATTTTTACATATTTGAAAAAATACCATATACCATCAAGTCTCAATAAAGTACAGGGGCGTATAACATTGAGGGGCAGGATCTGACCCCCAAGCGTCTGTGGGTTTACTTTGAGACAACCTATTTTTGAATTTAAGCATTTGATTTGGCCAAGGGTCAAGGCAGTTGAATGACACAGGCCTCGACTAATCCACTCACCTGCTCACATTTGCAAGTGATAGTTCAGTTCGGGGAGAAAAAAATTTATCAAACTTGCCCGGCAAGAAAAATTCTCCCAATCCAAATGATGTTTTTCTTAATGAATGTAAATGAAGTTATTCGGTAAATCAACCAAACTGCAGATGCCATTTCAATTGCAATACTGGTAAACAAAAACCTGAAATGTCCCTATGATTAAAGTCTAAACGACCCTATGACTAAGACTAAAACAATACCAAACGTGTATGATGAATGATTCTGTAACAACAGCAGCATTCAACAATGTTTTACACATACGCATTTGGTAATGAATTATATTTAGCCATGATGTTGATATTTTAGGCGAGTGCTTTAGAATTTGAATAAAGCTATGTCAAAATTTATATATCAAAAGAATGAAAAGTATTATAATCAATATGTATCGATAATTGAATAAAGTAGATTATACCAATATAGACTGGTAAATAGTAAATTTGAGTCTTGTGTTTTTGATCTTAACAAATTTTGTCCGTCAAAATTTAGGGCAAGTCCATTTTATGAAGGGCAAGCAAGTTTGTATGGTCACAAGGCGTGCAGGGCAAGCAACCCTACATAAAAACATTATGGCCTATGTCAATCTTAATTAGGCTATTGAGAATAATACTTCAATTACCAATTCTGTGTTAATTGTCATGCATGTAAATGTGGCAGGACTGGTGGTGAATACAAATAATACAGATAATAAAAATAGATCTAGATCTACATGTACATGGAAATGTTAAAAATAAAATCATTATTGTTATGAATCTGGTAGTGATGTGATTATGATGATTGGCAAATTTAAATTAATATACATTTGTATGATGTTTACCATGACTTAAATTATGTATGCCATTCATTACAGACAATTAAAAACCTGTTTAAAAAATCCACAAAAGAGATCAACTAGAATTTTACAAGATCAGAGCTCTAGGGATCCATTAAAAATTGGCATTCTAGGATGTGGTAGATTGGGAAGTCAGTTAGCTCATAGCTTTATAACATATGGGAACATTAATCCAAAAGATATTAAGATCTCCACAAGAAGACCAGAAACATTAGGTAAATATATTTTTCTGCCATGTTCTGATTTATGCTATTCTGTTCCGTGTTGTTAAATTTTAGATGTTTGGTAATTGTAAGAACTATAAAGGGACTTGTAATTCAAAGGGAGAGTAGTGACTTAGTTGTTAGTAGTTGACTTAGTATGCCTTTTAAAGCAGGGATTGTGTCTCACCCATGATTCCTCGTATTAATCTAATATTGGGATCGTCAATATTGGTTAGTTCATGGCAGTGTTACCTGCTACATCTACAATTTCCTGCTAAAATTGAAACAATACTGTTTAAACTGTGGTTATTCTACATGCTTTACAGTGAATTTATGTTTCTAATTTGATTATTTGTCTTAGTACCATCAATTTTAATACTAATTAAAATATTGTAATCTACTGCTTTGTATCCCCATTTCACTATTTCGAAAGATCAGAGAATAGTCAACTTTACCAAGAAAGAATTAGTTCACAAGCTAATTTATTGCAATGAGGCTAAATAGATATTTTATCTGCACATATCGGAGCAGCTGACAATTATTAGTCAGTCAGAGCAAGCGTTGCTTAAAGAGAAGCATGAATTAATAGTTTGCCTAAACTGAGACATGTAAAATTTTGAGTAAAATTTTACTTAACAAGGGTTAAAATGCATGGTTGTTGTTGGATTTTATATACATATATACATGAATATAAATATATAATTCATTTGTCAAGAATATTTTACTCTTTTTCAGAATATCTGTTAACAAAAGGAGTTGACTGTTTCCATGACAACATAAAACTAGTGACAACCACACATATTGTATTTCTGTGTGTATTACCATCACAAGTACCTGCCATTGCAGATGAAGTAAAAGCAGAAATTCCACAAACTTTATTTCTATATAGCTTTGCCAGTTCTATAACGGCTAGAAAACTGCGGCAGTTGTTTGGTACAACAAATATTATTCACCCGGACTATACCTGGGATCTAAACAGTAACAATGATGACTGGGACTTTTCAATAAATGTGAACACTGCACTTGAAAATATATCCATAGTTTCAACAACATGTCCTCTAAGAAAACAAAAATGTAAGATATTTAATTTTCTTAGATTTCTTTTGTTTTCTTTTTGTATATTATTTTTCATGCAGTTCATTTACAAATTCTATGGCATGGAACTTCTTTTGTCACTATAACATTAACCTTGAAGGGAAAGACTAGGAAATATAAAGTATGGTCAGGAAATCAAATCATTTATGTTACAAAAAAATATAAACCCTTTCAGTGATAGGTATTTGTCAGTACATTAGGTAGTATACCCATCTCATTCAACAGTGCAGTCTTTACATGAAATGTGTTAATAACAACAAATTGAATAATCAGAATACGTTACAAAAATCTTTTAGGGGCGAGTGGCAATAACGCCTGGCCTAAAGGGACCATCAATATATAGTTAAGCCAGCTTGGACAAGCTTGCAATTAGACTAATCCCTTTCTATAGTAAAATTTTGGCTGCTAAATTTTATATTTTAAGTATTGAATTACTTCACTTAAAACATGCAATTCCACATTTCAACAGAACAATTCCATTACACAATTAGGCAGGTTTATAACTTCAAATTAATTTAAATTCATCCTGGAATATTCTTTTTCTCAGCTGTGATAACAACAAGTCCAAAGGTGGCAGAGCTGATGATATTTGTGTTTGTAAATATGTGTACTCACCTCAAGTTGAACAAACATGATGTTTTGGAGCTATTACACATTGTGATGTTCAACAACACACCAGAATGTCGCCTAGAACTCAATGATTTCATCAGGAAATCTGCTGACAAAGATGAGTATGTCTGCATATTTGCAAAAATCTTTGTACTTTAATAAGAAAATATTAGATGATAAATAAATTACTTCTTATAACAACTTAATCTGACATGTCTGCATGCTTTATTAGATAATTTAATTGTCAGAAACATAGCACATTTAATCATTCAGTACTAGTAGTTAGTTACCTTTCTAATATGATGCAAGAGTCAAACTGTGATTAGTTATTTTCAAAGAAGTTGACAATTTATCAAGCAGTTTCAAACAACACCAGTATGTGCCATCTTTCAGGCTGGTATTCCTGGTTTCTCACATATGTTAATGGTTCAAGGTCTAAAACTTATGGCCAGATGATCATGGGATAAAATTTTAAATAAGTTAAGATGGTAAGGGAAACTGGTCTTTGGTTACCTTCAGGTTACCTCATTTATATGCAAGGAGTGTAAAGCAAAATTTGATTGAGAGCTGTATACACTTTATAGTATCAAATTACCAAGAAAGGTCACCTAAAATACTATATGCAGATTAATTGCAGTTTTTCTGTCCAGAAGTGTCATTTTTTTTTCATATTGCAGAAGTTCAGTATCAAATCAGTCTACTCTCATAAGCATCACCATTGATTGAAATATTATATAAGTTGTTCATGTTTAGAAACAATAGATCTGGATACAGATTGAAAGTAGTCATGTTAACGAAATGAGTTCAAATATTTCACACATACATATGATCCTTTAATAATCAATTTGAGTAAATATAAGATATATTTTCTAATTTCAGAATGTTCCCACCGTTTGATTTGCTTAAAGTATTAGAGAGCAATACAGCAGTTTTGAAGAGGTTGAACCAGTATGAGGGACTTTATGATGCATTTGTTAACAAATACAACCATATATTTGAGGACTATTTGAAACAAAAACTTTACAATGAGATGTATGGAACATAGTCCTGTAATTTACAATTTTATGCAGGACACGAAAATATAACTTGTCCATACATACAATGGAATTTAACATTGTTTTTTCAAATACATATATACAGATGTAAAGACTCTCGTTAGTTAAGATGTTAAAGGTAAAGTTTCACAAAGACCTGAAATCTTGGATTATTTTCTGAATTATACTAAGGTCAGTGGCTTTGTAAAAGTCAAAATGTTTGTTTATTCTGTGCATTTACCAACTCACAATGAGCTGAACAATATGTGAAAAGTAACTTACACTTATGTTAATTCTGTTTTAGAACATTATTTTAAAGCTTTTAACTCAATAGGAATTTGTTCCTATCCAATTTATGCACTATACCTTTTTTTAAGCCCCATTTGGAAATAATAAAATGTTGACATAAATATCATGATAAACTTTGCTAAAATATTGATGCAAATGTTATAAAATATATGATAAAATCAAGAGTCAATGTTCTTTTTTTTTTATTTAATACCTTATTGCTTTAGCTATGACTTTTTCAAAGTGTTGTTTTACAAAGGAGTAGCAACCTCAACATTTTTTCAGTTCTAGATAGCAGACGATTTTAAGTTTGAAGTAAATATAAAGAAATTTAAAAAAAACAACAGCACCGCAAAGGGTGAGCAATATAGTGAATATATGCCCGAATGTATTGTGAAGTAATAAAAATTAATCTCAATAAGGGTAGAGACCCAATGAAGAAACTTGTTTGAAAAATATCATCTTCATTATCATAGTGATACTACACGACATTCAAGGTGGAGGCATTTTTTACCCCAAGTGCATGATTCCTAAAACTTTTATAGAGGTCTACTAGGCAATGTTATATGCTAAATATAGAGGCATAGTATTTACCCACAAAAAGATATGTTTTCTATACCTTATTCTACATAAAGCGTGACTGCCAGAGCAGGGCCAATTTTGACCAAAATAAGACAAATGTGTTTTCCTATACAAAACTAAATTAATTAAAGGACACCCTGGTTGGAGCCATTTTTGACCCAAGGGGCATGATTAATACCAGTTATTTTGCGGTCTACAAAGTGATGTAACATACCAAATATCTAAGCTCTGGGCATGTTGTTTTGCACAATAAGTTTCATATGTGTCTTTCCTGTTTAAGTCTATACAAATCAAATGACCACTGGGGTGGGGTCAACATTATACATAATAGTTATAGTATATGAAACGAGTAAGTTACGAGGATATAACACTGGCTGGGGCGACATCAAGGGGTGTTTCTGCTAAAACAAGCAATTATCATAGTATTGCAAGCAATCCATAAGTCCCCTACCAGTTAGAACCCCATCAACATTCTGAAGAGCCATTCACTAATGTTTCAACTTTTCTCTATTTTAAGTAAATTTGTTGGAAAAGTTCTTTAAAGTGATCACAGGAAACAGTTTTTATGAACAGACGGACTGGAGGACACTTTAAAGTTAATATTTGAAACATCCCTGTTGCCAAACTATAACATTTTTAAAAGCAAAATTCTTAAAGAGGAGATATTGAAAATGCAATTTCATAAAAAATTTCAGCTCTTTTTGACTAATCACAAATTATTGTTATATTTGCCATGTTTTAAGCCTATTTGTTGCCGAGGCAACCAATTTTTTTTCAAAATAGGAAGAAAAGATAAGACATGCATAATCTCCAGACTGCCATCTACCCATATGTTAAGTTTCATGAAAATATTTCCAGTACTTTTTGAGTTATCACTGGATTCAGTTTATGTGTAAAATTTGCCATATTTTCAGTCTATGTAACCAGAATTTTCAACAGGAAGAAAAGAAAAAGACGTGCATAATCTCCAGACTGCCATCTACCTATATTTCAAGGTTCATAAAAATATTTCCAGTACTTTTTGCTTTATCACTGGATCCAGTTTATGTGTAAAATTTGACATATTTTCAGCCTATTTGTTGCCATAGCAACCAGAATTTTCAACTTAGGAAGAAAAGAAAAAGACGTGCATAATCACCAGACTGCCATCTACCCATATTACAATTTTCATAAAAATATTTCCAGTACTTTTTGCGTTGTAACTGGATCCAGTTTATGTGTAAAATTTGCCATATTTTCAGCCTATTTGTTGCCATAGCAACCAAAATTTTCAACATAGGAAGAAAAGAAAAAGACGTGCATAATCTCCATACTGCCATCTACCCATATATCAAGTTTCATAAAAATATTTTAAGTACTTTTCAAGTTATCGCGGGATACAGTTTTGTGGACTGACGGACTGACAGACGGAAGGTAAACCTAAAGTCCCCTCCGGTAAACCGGTAGGGGACTAAAAATGGCAAGGCCGTTAGGCCGAGACAATTTTTTTTGCAGAAACATCCCGAGATGTCCCCCCAGCCAATGTTATATCCCCGTAATTATTGAGTTTCATATACTATAACTGTTTTATCGCAATGACATAATGTTTTCTTTTTTTGTAATAGAAACAAATAAATAAATCGTTAGCTACATTACAGTTATTTATGATAAGGCAGTTTTTTCAAGTTGTTTTCGCTGCCGCAAAAAAAATATACAAAAGACATCCAATGTTAGAGGCGGATTGTAAACTGTTACCAAGATTGATTCAAGATTAAAAGATTGATTCAAGATTAAGTAATATTTCTTTATTTTCTATCCATTCAAAAAATGCAGAGCTGACACAATTTGAAATTGATACAACAGGACTAAGTGTGACCTTGATCTGAGGAAGGTTAAACTTGCGCTCTGCACATCATTTTATCATGGTTAACATTTAAACCAAGTAGGTTCAATTTCCTTTCACCGGTAATCAAAATAATGACCAGATACGAAAACAAATGGACGACCAAGTGCATACAAATACACCAAAATTTTTTGGGGCATTTAAAGTTTAATAGTTATGCAAAATGTCTTTCTATTTCAAAGTGAAAGGGGCATAGCTCTGCCAAAATTCATTAAATCATGACGTGACCTGTGCATTCCTTTGACATATTCATATGTCAAATTTGAGTTTAACAGCACAAATGTTGGTGAGATAATGAACAACAAGAACTGTCGGAGGACAGTAAAGCTCGACTATTCGAAAATTTGTCACAAGGGTGTTTCATTGAGTATAATAATGCTTACCTATATGAATACATAAAATTGTCCGAAAAGGTACAAACTCTTCAAGTTTCAATACATTCCCTTCAGTAGTTATGGAGATACAAGCTTACATACAAAAACTTAACCAAGATTTTCTAAGTCGAAAAAGGGGCATAATTATGAAATAAAACAATTCAGAGTTATGGGACTTGTACCAATCACCTTAGATAATCACAGAGACCAAGTGTGTGAAGTTTCAATCCATTCCCTTCAGTAGTTATGGAGATACCAGCTTACATACAAAAACTTAACCAAGAATTTCTAAGTCGAAAAAGGGGCATAATTATGAAAAAAAGCAAATCAGAGTTATGGGACTTGTGCCAATCATCTTAGATAATCACAGAGAACAAGTGTGTGAAGTTTCAATCCATTCCCTTCAGTAGTTATGGAGATACCAGCTTACATACAAAAACTTAACCAAGATTTTCTAAGTCGAAAAAGGGGCATAATTATGAAATAAAACAATTCAGAGTTATGGGACTTGTGCCAATCATCTTAGATAATCACAGAGAACAAGTGTGTGAAGTTTCAATCCATTCCCTTCAGTAGTTATGGAGATACCAGCTTACATACAAAAACTTAACCAAGATTTTCTAAGTCGAAAAAGGGGCATAATTATGAAATAAAACAATTCAGAGTTATGGGACTTGTGCCAATCATCTTAGATAATCACAGAGAACAAGTGTGTGAAGTTTCAATCCATTCCCTTCAGTAGTTATGGAGATACCAGCTTACATACAAAAACTTAACCACAGGGACGCCGACGCCGACAAATGGGTGACTGCATTAGCTCGATTATTCTGCGAATAGTCGAGCTAAAAACTGGAAAGTTATTTTTTCAAAGTGAAAGGGGCATAACTCTGCCAAAAATCATCGAACCAAGACCAAATTTGAGCTTGACATGCACATTCCTTTGACGTATCCATATGTCAAATTTGAGTTGAATGTGTGCAACCCTTGAATGTGTAATATTGTTGGGGAGGTAATGGTCGGAAACTGAAAAATTTCATAAAGGGGCATTAATGTCAAAAATCATCAGACCATGACCAAATTCGAACTTTACTGAGTTGAATGTGTGCAACCCTTACCAAGATAATGAACGGAAACTGATCATGATGGAAGGGCGGAATGACGGAACAGGGCAACCCTATATGCCCAGGCCAATTTATGGCGGGGGCATAAATACCGGTATATCTTTTTTTTTAGGGTTTGCAATCCATAACATGAATTTTTTCCCAAATTTCATGAATTTTCACGACTGTCTCAAGACTTCTGGAGGGCACTGTATCAATCCATTGACTTACAAAAATTTGCCCAGTGCTGCATTCATGTTGTCCATTGTTAGTTTTGTTAAGGGCATTTTTCTGACAGACAAGACTTCTGAAAGATTTATCTATAGATTTGGTGTTATTTTCACATTCTTCAAATTACAATATATACACAGTGAATTATTCCAAGTTTGAAGTGAACAGCTCTCTTGGTTTTTAAGAAAAGGACCTTAACAAAGCTTTAGCTTAGTGAGCTTGACCTGAAATTGAATGCAACAGGTAATGCTTCTCAAAGTGCATCTGTTTATAACTGGTGTTACACTATGTGTGATAATATACTTTGTCATCATATAAATATACCATGGTGGTTTTTAAAAAATAAACTCTGTAAGTAACAGACATCTTACAAGAGCCAGTGCCGCATGATAATCACACTTGGATATATTTACTAAAAGCTGGTTTATTGCCCTTTCCTTTTTCATGCCTTATGTAACTAACTGGTAAACTTTGAAGGCTTGGAACTTTCTCATCAAAATGAGACTGATTTATGAGTTGATATGCCAATTAAATTGTCAAAGTTTTTACACAAGTCCTTTCTACTTCCACTTATTGATTGACTTTCTCCTGTATCTCGCATATCTTCATATACAATTAACCAGATAGTTTTCAACCTTAGTATACAAAGGACCACATAGCCAAAGTTACAACCAACTTATTGCTAAAACAAGATTAAGACTAGAACTGTGTCCAAAGGACACGGATGCCCCCACTGACAATTTATATATGGTATATAGTGAAAAAATCAACAAAGGGCCATAATTCTGTTAAATTTGGTCACAGCAAAAATTCCTTCCTTTACTACCATCTACACATTAAGGTTGATCATCCCTGGAAGTTTAAGCAAACTCTGCCATCCGGTTTAAGAGGAGTTGCGTTCACAAAATTTCTATATGGCATATAGTGAAAAAAATCAACAAAGGGCCATAATTCTGTTAAATTTGGTCGCAGCAAAAATTCCTTCCTTTACTACCATCTACACATTAAGGTTGATCATCCCTGGAAGTTTAAGCAAAATCTGCCATCCGGTTTAAGAGGAGTTGCGTTCACAAAATTTCTATATGGTATATAGTGAAAAAATCAACAAAGGGCCATAATTTAGTTAAATTTGGTCGCAGCAAAAATTCCTTCCTTTACTACCATCTACACATTAAGGTTGATCATCCCTGTAAGTTTAAGCAAAATCTGCCATCCGGTTTAAGAGGAGTTGCGTTCACAAAATTTCTATATGGTATATAGTGAAAAAATCAACAAAGGGCCATAATTCTGTTAAATTTGGTCGCAGCAAAAATTCCTTCCTTTACTACCATCTACACATTAAGGTTATTCATCCCTGGAAGTTTAAGCAAAATCTGCCATCCGGTTTAAGAGGAGTTGCGTTCACAAAATTTCTATATGGTCTATGGTGAAAAAATCAACAAAGGGCCATAATTCTGTTAAATTTGATCGCAGCAAAAATTCCTTCCTTTACTACCATCTACACATTAAGGTTGATCATCCCTGTAAGTTTAAGCAAAATCTGCCATCCGGTTTAAGAGGAGTTGCGTTCACAAGATTTCGGGACGTACAGACGGACGGACGGACAGACGTACGGACGGACACTCGGACGGACAAGTGCAACGCTATATGCTCCCACTCTGTGGGGGCATAAAAATATAAATTATACTACAGGATCAAACACAACAAATTGTCCATTGAGTAGGAAAATACTTTAATTCAAAGTTTTTGGTTGAAGTCAAAACTTATGTCTATTATAAGAAAAATGTGTTTAAAATTGGCTTAAAATCACCAATATTTATACCTTTAAATTCTTCAGTCTAAACATCAATAATTCTATCATTTAAACTCATTTTCCATTATGCAATTATATATAAAACAACGAGAATGTTGTAAATATGAAATAGACAATAACAAGTTAAAAGACTAAGGCAAAACTTGCATGTAAAGAAACTGTAAAATCATGCACAATGTAAAGAAATAAAATGAAAAAATTTACAACATATGTACAACGGTTTTTACATATATAATACACAGACCTATCTACAGGGTTAGATACTTCATTTACTTTAAAACTAAAATGTAAAATTATTACATGTATAATGCTTTTTAAATAAATACCATTAAAATCTAAAACATGATCACCAAGTTGTATTCCATCAGTTTGTTTTTTTATAGTTTTTTAGTATATATTACATTAAGCTTAGTTAATCTACAGACAACTGCTTCTATCAAGTGCTCTTTTCTCAAGTCAATAATGATTTTTAAAAACATGGAATTGACAGACATAAATAGGAACCAATGATTGTCAAAATTTGTATTAATGAAATGATGCAATAAAAATGAATTTTGATTATAAGTGCTAAATGTTTCTTAAAGATGTTTGTTTTAAAAAATTTGTGAAAATAGCCTTTGATAAAAATAGTATTAGAGAAGATTTACAATTTTACATAAAACATAATGAACAAATCAAAATTTAAAATACTAACTAATTACCATATTTTATGAAAGTTTCCTGAGTATCTTGCCTTTCAAGGAATGCAATACGTTACTAAATACTGAAAAAAATTGTCTCAAAAATGCTCTATTCTATTCCTTCAAAAACTCAATTTGATATTATGAACAGATATTTAAAAAATTCTTTTCTTTGAAGTTAAATGTTTTCTTGAAATATACACTTTACTTTCAAACCCTCTTGAAATTCAGCCAGAATAATTAGTGTATATGCACAAAAAGTGTAGAGCTATTTAATACTAAATAACAATCTCAACAAGATAAAAGTTTACACTTCTTTTTTAATCATTTTAAATAATGAGAATATAAATGGAACAATACCAATTAATTGAGATCATAACTGTTTATTTTTCTAAACTAACTTCAATCCTGCCATTATTGTTTAAATCAAGCACTTCCTTTGTTACATTATAATACCCAGATGGAATGGCAGTGTTAATGTATGTAATGTCAGTATCTAATAAATTCCAGGAATAATCCTATATTTAACCTTCTCACAATAGCGGTCCCAGCTAGCCCCGTACTTCTGCCTACACAGAGCATCATCTCTACGTTCCCGGTGTACAAGCAAGATGAAGAAGTAGATTGGATAGAAGTAAGGCATTATGGATGTAAAACCTGTACAAGAAAAAAGGTTTGTAAACTTCAGAAATCCCGTAATTTTTTAACTTGAATTTTTTTTTTAAAAATTGCCTTAAATACTACTAATCTTAAAATAAAGTTTCTACTACAAAAATGGCTCAGCATATAGCCATTTTTTATGTAACAACTTCTTACAGTCCAAGTATTACTGTAAGAATTTGTTTAACTATACTGAACTCACTTTAAAAAGTATAGGCATGCAAATATCATATGATCATTATATAAAGAAATAAATTTAGTATTTAATAAATTAATCAATTTCAATATAACAACAGTCCATATACAATGTATAATATCGTAACAGCACTTACCACATGGAAGGGACCAAGCTAATGACATAATTATATCCCCAAGGTAGTTTGGTTTCCTACATAATCCCCACCAACCAGACACAAGGAGCTTCTTGTTGGTTCCAGTGCGTATTGTCTCTAGATCTAAAAAGGTAACCAAAGAGATTCAGAAACTTATTCATCCCTTACACTGTTCAACATAAAAATATACCATCCGGTCAGAACAATAGATAGAGCGTTGGAATGACTGGGCTAGTCACAACCCGGGTTTTATCCCCAGACAGGACAGGTCACTTTTGTTGTGATTAATCATGAAAATCTTTCTACTGTCATTCGCACTGTACCTCTGCTTTGGCATGTACAGAAGTGACCAGCTCTTTCAGTCCGTCATTGCATAAGTGAAACTAGTAATCTGCTTGACAGCCTATGCTGGAAACATGCAATAGCTGAAAAGTGCTCTGGTTAATTAAATGCCGCTTACTGGCATGATCCAGAGGGTTAACTACCAACAACAACCACCTCAACGTCAAATTTTTTTTAGTTTTCTGGTAAAAAAAAAAAAAATTGGATTAGAAATGTCTACCCAGAAAAAAGTCTGCCATATAATAATTCTTACAAACGTAAAGCACTGCTTAAATTGTTTTCTGTATTTTTCAGCAAAAAGTAATATTTCTACTTACGTGCAAGAGCTGGGTCATTTGGATTCTTTCTGAAATCATTCTTCTGAGAGTTGCTTCCACGGAATATGTAATATCCAATGACTGTAAAAAAAATGTAAATAGTACATTAATGCAAACAACCTATGATAAATAATAACTTCCACAGCATATTACAACATCCATGCATATGATCACAAATGCTATTTATTTGTTTGCAGCTTATAAATTTCAAAGAGTAAATAAAAATGCATCACATTAATTTAACTTTACCAAAGGTAAGGACAGATTCTTAACAATTTTCCAATGCACACTGAATTCACTTGTTCATAATTATCTTCTTCAATTATTAACTTTTATTAATATTTGCCAAACTTCAACAGTAAAAAAAATCATGCATTAATCCAGGTACTGGAAATTAAACTATCATCATTCAAACAGCAACTCATATGACAGAAATCAACATACCGGACAGGATTCTAACTCACAGAAGTCAGCATCAATGAACACACAGATACAGAAGTTTATATATGAGAGACAGTACATGATTGACTGTCTTTGCCAAATCACTGAATGACTGATAGATCAGAAAACTACATTAATACTACTATATAGAAAGAAAACAGCAACTTACAGTTCAAGAGGGCAATACTAGCTAAACAGTACCAGGGCATTGGATTAGGATGTTCTAGGAGATAGCGACCTTGTAGGCAATACAGAAATGGCACCCAAGCTAGATCTCCTAAACTCAACATGAATCCAAAGCCTTCATAGATGATATCCATGGTTGTCAAGATGGCATCCTGAAATAACAAAACATGGATCAACATGTTATAATGAACTAATCTTATCTGCAGGATTTCAACATCTGAATCTTTATAAATATATTGCTATATTTATATATTAATATATAAGTACAATATGTGCTAAAATGTTTAAATTTGTTAAGTGCTCCCATTAATAATAAGTTGTTTATTAAACCATGAATATCGTAACAATAAATTCAAACTAATAAAAGAGAAACACACACCTCAAACCATAAAGCATCAGCTACATAGAGAGTTTGAAACACAGCTACAGCAACCAAAGCATAATCCAACTGTTTATCCATCTGATAGTCCTTCACAAGGAAAACAAGGTTAATCATCACCCAACCGATGAGGCCTGGTCTCATTTCACAAAAAAACTTGAAATCAAACATTCCAATCCTTGGGTTGAGTTCATGTCCCATGAAGAAGTCGTAGAAAATGTTTCCTGTAGATTTGAGAAGTATATAACAGAGAATTAATCTTGTAGAATATGGCCAATAAAATTTACTGCTCATACTAAGACTAAACATACTCATGTTAGAACAAGAAACATGGCAATAACACGAAACCAGGTTTTCAATTATCAACATTGTAGATAAATATGTTGTATTTGAAATACAAATACAAGCAACAATGTAACTATGTGCAATGTTAAACATGAATAATGTAGGAGGAATTGCCACGAAAGAAGTGTTCACTATATATTCTATATAAGGAAAAAAAACAACAAAGGGCCATAATTAGGTCAAAAATTATCCAATCACAAAACCCCGACAATAATGCGCCAGGGCACTTGATGATAAAGCTTCTGTGAAAGTTTGAACAAAATCCGTTGAGAAATGTAGGACGAGTTGCGTACGGTAGAAATTGTTTACTATATATTCTGTATAAGGAAAAAAACAAAGGGCCATAAGGAAAAAAACAAAGGGCCATAATTAGGTCAAATATTATTTAATCACAAAACCCCGACAATATGTGCCAGGGCACTTGATAACCAAGCTTCTGAGAAAGTTTGGTCAAAATCCGTTGAGAAATGTAGGAGGAGTTGCGCACAAAAGAAATTGTTCACTACATATTCTATATAAGGAAAAAAAAATAGGGCCATAATTAGGTCAAATATTATCCAATCACAAAACCCCCTACAATATGCGCCAGGGCACTTGATGACAAAGCTTTTGTGAAAGTTTGGTCAGAATCCGTTGTGAAATGTAGGAGGAGTTCAGCACAGAAGAAATTGTTCACTATATATTCTATATAAGGAAAAAAAAACAACAAAGGGCCATAATTAGGTCAAATTTTATCCAATCACAAAACCCCGACAATCTGCCCCAGGGTACTTGATGACAAAGCTTCTGTGAAAGTTTGGTCAAAATCCGTTGAGAAATGTAGGAGGAGTTGCGCACAGAAGAAATTGTTCACTACATATTCTATATAAGGAAAAAAACAAAGGGCCATAATTAGGTCAAATATTATCCAATCACAAAACCCCGACAATATGCGCCAGGGCACTTGATAACAAAGCTTCTGTGACAGTTTGGTCAAAATCCGTTGAGAAAAGTAGAAGGAGTTGTGCACAGAAGAAATTGTTTACGCCCGACCGCCCACCCGCCCGTCCGCCCGCAGACATACCTCAATTTAATAACCAGTTTTTTCCTTCGGAAAACCTGGTTAAAAATAGTTCCTACAGAAATTAAAGCAAAAAAAAAAAATCAAGGACTTTTGAAGGACTTTTCAAAGGTCCAAAATGTACATTTAAGCATACCAGATTTAACAATAAGATTCCTTGTTCTTTGTTTATATACACTGGAAGTTTGAAAAGTCAGTTTTAATTGTTCATGAAAGGAAATTATAGTTTGCCTTGCCATTCAAGTACTGTGGGAACTAAGTGAAATGGGAAAAGCTGAGACTCAGGAGGATTGTTCATTTTGGATTTTTAAACAGAAATAACAGGATTGGCCTTCATTTCATTCTTATTTCTATCATTATTGTTCCTATCAGTGTCGTAACATTTTCACTTTCAGCTTTTCAAAAAATGTGGTTTGAGTTTTCTGACAACTACTGCAGATTCATGTCTATCTGAGTTGGAGTCAAATTTTATTGCTGACAAGCACGATTTTACCAAAATCAATATAGTTCTGTCAGACAAGGGACACAACTTACATTGCGTCTATTACTGTTAACACAGCAGATCCATGGGTATTCACTCATTCATTTCAACTTTATCACACTTTTTCCTATCATTAAATGTACTAACTTAATGTTGCCATTAGAATCAAGCAGTTAAACAATGACTGACTGAAATATACCCAGTGCCCACAGTTACAAAGAAGTGTTACCACAAACAAATATATAAGTACAGAAATTGTCAATCTTCTGTGTCAAATGAAATGACAGTGTATAGTTTTTGTATTTTCCAGTGTAATGTGTACATTTTTGCCTATTAAGAACCAGCTGCATAAAATGATTCAAGATGATGATCCCAAAGTTTTTTTTCCAACACAACTTTCAAGGGCTTTTTAAGTCCAAGTTCATTTCAGGTTTTGTTGAAATTTAGGGACTCTTAAAGCCTATATAAGACTTAAAGCCTGTACACACCATGTGAAACATGTGGAGTGGACTTAAAAGAACTCCACTAAGGTCCAAAAGCCTCAAATATATAATTTGAATTTCTTGGTGATATGCAAAATATCATAAGGAAACTTACCCATAAATAAATTGAAAATCATATTTTAATGCTATTCTTAGCCTAATTTGAGTGAAAAACATTGCAATTTTGGGTCATTTTTCACATTATTCTAGGCTGAGCCAATGATCTGAAATTTTACATGTTATTTGTCTAGACCATCTTCTAATGGAACATTAAAGCGGTTTTAAGCTTTTAATTTCCCTTAGAAAAACATTTCTGTGTTGCAACATATCACTGTTAAGGCTTCTTCAAAACAACGTACGAGAGCTATTTATGAGTCAATGATGTTGTTTCTAAAAATAGAAGACCGGAAAATGAGTTGTCCGCTTAAATAATTTAAATAGAGAGAGGACTGGTAGATTAAAACTATTGAGGAGTTACCTTAATGTATATGATTTTATTGACAGCAAATTTCATTTTCCACCGTAATTCTATTGACTTGACAATTTTATGAAACGATTTATCTAAAAATAACATATTTAACCTTAGAAAAGAGGAAAGTCGCTTTTAAGAGATTCCAGTAATGTTTTTTGACATGACCAATTCCAGTAAGGTTTTTTGTCATGACCGGACTGGAATTTTTTTTGGAGATTCACATATCAATCAATCAATGAAGGTCTGGACCAAGAACATGCAGGGTTGTCATTAACTTTTTTTGCAGGTTTGTTTTGAACTTGAGGCGGTCATTTCTGTCTTTATCATGCATAACAAAGAGTGTTTTCTTAATTTTGAGGCGGCCCATAATGCATTATAATGACAACCCTGAACATGTGCAAAAAAATTTAAGCCTTCCCCTTACCCTGTTTTTCCAGAATAATCATTTTTATTGTGCAAAATGACCCAAAACTGCGATGTCATCATACGACCTCAACAGCATGAATTAAATTATTATAATAAATTAATCCTTACCAGTATTGCCAGGAGGTGCTAAGTTTTTAATTGGTCCCCTTCTTGCCTTTATGTACATAAATACAGCCAAAACAAAAGAGAATATGATTGCAGAAGTCATAATCTGCAAGAACTTGTCATACACAATGGTAACAGGAACTTTGTAGTAGACTGCTGCAGCAAAGGCCAACAAACTTACAACAAATGCAAAAAATCCTGGAAGAGAAATAGGAAGAACATCTTAAATTTATGAATTATTACTTTTTCCTGTGCAAATGCTTTATGTTCAAAAATCAACAAATTACTATTTCACAACTTTATTAAAGTAACTTTTTCTTAAGTGTCTAGTGGAAGAGAATTTCAGTAAAATATCAAAGACTAGTCACTGTTATGAAATTATGTACCAGTTCAAACTTCAATTAAGTTACAATCCATATAGAACAGTAACTGTTAAATGATTGCTTTGTACCAAGTTTTTCAAACACTGTTTCAAAAGCAAAATTTTACATTGCGTCTGTTTTTATCTGTTTGGGTTGTCAGACCAAACAAATAATGGTAGCGAAATTTCAGAGCCAATGCTGTTAATTGCAAATGCCTAAAGTAGTAATCCACTTTTTTGAAGCGGTTACTTCCCTTTTTATGTACACTACCACCGAAAAATTCAGGGGAGATCAATGCGTAAAGATTTCAAATGACAGGCGCATTAATTTTCAAGCAAAGTAGTTCCCGAATGGTCGAAGATTTCTAATATTGTTTTATTCTTTATAGATATACATGCTTACAGTAAGCTCCATGATTATTTACATCTGTGTTTAGCAGTAACAAACCCTAATTTAGAATAATATGGTTTTCTTCGGGCTCTTAACATATAACTTCACCCTGGCCGAGGGGTTTGCACGATTGCTTATGAATCGAGAGGTCTCGAGTTCAAATCCCAGTTGAGGCAACTCATTTTTTAATTATTTTTTTTTAAGTCAAATAAACATTGAATTGACTATCAGTGTTGCAATTAGTCTTATAGCCAATTTACTACAGTTAAAACACTAGTTATCCTCTGCTAGAACATTAATATTTCCCCAAATTAGGACTGCAACAATTGACCAGATGTTCGATTCGATTTAAGGCACACAGATTTGATTCATCATTTTCCAGAAATACAACACTGTGCTCCCATGACCAAGTTGAATTAGCCAACCACATGTAGCATAATTAAATTGTAGACTAGTAAGAGAAGTACTAAAACACACATTTTATCGAATCAAATCGAAACTGTTATAGTTGATATAATCAGAAATCGAATTGGTGCCCATTTTTCGATACATCTGAACAAATCGTTGCACCACTACCCAAAATTTGGGTGCTTCTTCTTGTAAGGAAATATGTTTCTTCAACAATAAACAGAAAAAATGTAAACATGGTTTTTCTTACCATTACACCTGTAAGAAAGTCTCTGATTATTTTTGATAGGTAGACCTTGTACTACCTTACCAACAGGAATCAGGGACAGAACAGCTTGAAAAATAAACCATCCAACAAATATAAGTGCGGCTTGTACATCAAAGAAACTAGACCATTTCCCAGGACAGTTGTGAATATTAGTTATGCTGCACTTCTTCTATAAAGACAATAAAGAAATTTCAACATAAATGACATTTGTGCTTTTTACCTGTAATCATATTGTTCACCTTTAGCTATTTACAATATCATGGGTGCAAGTTGAAAATTTGAAAAAACCTGAAAACTGTAATTCATAATCATTTTCCTATATAATCTTATAGTAAAACATGATGAAATTTGTCACAAAAAACCTGAACTTCAGGCATATGCCTGAAAACTTGCACCCATACAATATGGAAAAACTTGACGAAATAAATATAAATACACAAAACAAAATATGAATTCTTACCCAATAATGAAATTATCGGATAGAATAACTTTCTTTGTAAACTTCTTGACCGCCTGAGATGTCAGAATTAAGAGTCTATAATGGAAGGTGCCTATATGTTCACATGACACAGCATCACTTTCATTTTAACCTTACCTTGCTAGAACGGTAAAGGGTCAACTCTGCCCTATACCAACTCGGCACGGGTCAACTCGGCCCACTATTAAAAAACTATATAAGGATATAGATTGTTTAGTTAATAAAAATTTTAAGGAGTAAATTACTATAGAATTATTCAGAAGTACGATCACTTACAAACAGAAATTGAAAAAGTTGGCAGTGTACCTGTACGTATTGTTTGAAGAAAGAGATATCAAGACAATATATGTTAAATATTGATTCATTATTAAATAGAGTTTTTAGATTGAATTTTTGTGACAATAAATGTAATTGTATTTAATACTGTTTGTTCTTTAATACCACCAATGCTGTTTTAACGATATTTTTTTACAAAAACATTTGGAGTACTGTAGGCCAAATATGCATAATAAATTGTAAATTCTTCCTTCCTCTACAAATTCACCTACAAATTGTTATTTTCATCAATAAAACATTTAACTTTCTCAATATCCTAGAGTAGTAGTCTGTTACTGTGAAAATGTTAAACACTGAAAGTTATGATGAAAACATAAAAAGTAATAAAAGAAGTAATAAAAGTAATCATTAACAGTAATATATAATAATGGGCCGAGTTGACCCGTGCCAAGTTAACTCGGGCCGAGTACGTTTTAGGGCCGAGCTGACCCTGATTCTGCTAGAACCAACTGTGATTTGATTTAGTCATCAGTATGGAACTAGCAAACCTGCAGTCTAACAAGTTTCTATATTGTTGGCAAAATAAATCCAACTTTTATTTTGATAGTCCTGACAAGTCCTTTAACAAATTCAGCAGGTTATGGCTTAGGTAATATTGGGGTGTTATGTGAGAGTGTTCAATCTAGAGTGTGCCATTGTTCCTATGGCCCACTAAAAACAAGTTAGCACAATTTATGAACTATATGTGGCCTTTTGCACAATATCTTCGAGTTTTAAAAGGAAATAACTAAATAAGTAATTAATGGGATTTCATAAGGGTACCGTTTCATAATATCACTGTGACGCAGTTTCAAGTTCAAGACTTCTTGTCCCATGTGTTTTACATTAGCAAAGGAAATTAGGAAACAAAACTTATATATTTTGTTTAAAACATACTGTATTAATACTAGACAAAGTACCAGTCAGGAGTTTCAAGTGTGTGTTCTATTCATGTCATCTTCTAAAGGAACATTAAAGCGGTTTTAAGCGTTTTATTTCTGTTAGAAAAACATTTCTGTGTTGCAACACAAACTGATTGAGAATACATTGTATGCTGTTTACAAACGATTAATGCATACCACATTTTACAATATTAACTAGTGGGCTCAATACTGAATATATCCATGAAATCATAAAATTATAAACTGCAATACTGGGAAAGTCTTAAATATTGATACATAAATTACAAATAGTAGACAGTACAAACAATTTTTAAATTACCTTAGAACAAGCCATATTAATGTAATATAATGTGGCTGGTAAGAAGAGCATCATCATGAAGGTTCCAAAAGCACCACCAAACTCTGTGTGCCCTGTCTTTGCATTTTCTTTCTTTTCACTTCTCTCTGGACTTTCAGATGCTCGTTTCCCCACTTCCTGATAATTCAATAAATATTTCATAGCAAACAAGATTATAAGATTCTACAATCTGTCGAAAAACAAAACATCAATCAAAAACAAATAAATTTTATAGTGATTATTTATGATTATTAAAAACCTCAACATCAGTTTTCGTATAACCAGGGCATCCTTAAAAACTTATGAATTTGTCTCTTGTGGATACTTTGTAATACAATTCACAAATGTCAACATTCAGGTTTAAATACCATAAAAGCAGATATTTTTTAAAAATTTGTAGTTAGCATTTTATGTGAAATAACCATGTAGTTCCATTATGCTAAAAATAAATCTTATCTTACTATACCTCATTAGATTTAGATGCTAATCTTGCTGACATTCTTGTTGGTGTTGAAGATTTTGATCTGGCAGTCCTGTTTGGAGTTGCTGCTTTAGGTTTTGTTGTCTTAGGTCTTCCTGGACTCCTTCCCCTTGATCTACTTCTACTACGGCTGCGACTTCTACTCCTAGTTGATCTTGATTTTGAACTTCTAGACCTTGATCTTACCTTTATAATAATAAACAAACTATTAACAAAGTCAGTAAATAACTAGCTGTTTAAGCATACAAAAAATAAAAAAATAAAATTTAAATGTTTTGTACATGTAGTTTAATTCATTTTTAATATCTCAGAGAAATTATGAACACCTAAGGAAGTTACATAACCGTAAGCATGGGGTGCAATCTAAATATAGAAATTTAAATTTCTAATAATAGATCTATTTTACAACATAATTTCATTTACCCCCGATGTCTTCTTCAACGCCATGATGACAGGAGAATTCTCCTCTTCTACCTAAAATAATAAGAAAGAAATAGTTTGCATTTGATTTTTATATTTTTAGGTACGATATATTTAATTTGTACTTAGTTCTGATTCGGAATATACCCCGTCGTGAGCCCCTTAGTAAAAGTTTGTTCAAAACACGGATCAAACGACTGAATGTTCAAACACGGATCAAATGATTGAATGTTCAACTAAGTGTTCTGTATTAATCTTTTTGTAAAGTTCATATAAATCAAATGATATAACGAATTCTGTGTGAAAAAAACAACAACAAAGGCAATCGTATGAAAATCTAGCGTACAAATTTTGTCATCACATTTCGCGCCCAATGACATTAACACCCAAAATGAGAGCGTAGAATCAAGTAAATTGCAGTTAATTTAGACAGATAAATGCTTTAACAAAAGTAATTAACGAAACATTCGATATTTTGATTTAAAGACAACAATCTAAGAATACATACTTGGAAATCCCTTACGACAAAACTAGTTCCGTACACAATAAGCGACGCTTGACACAGTTGGCGGGCAAGATTTTCATTGGTCGGTATCGCTTTCTATTTAACTGCTGTGTTTTGATTGGATAGTCTTATTGGAACAGCCAAAGAGGGCTCCCACGGTGTGACTCATCGGGGTAAATAATAATTATATAATATTGAGTAGCCTCACTGTGTACTAAATAGAGGATATTCAAGTGTTTTCTATAAATACATGATTTATTTTCATCGAGTGGTATGAAAATAAATATTTCATGAGTGGCGGTAGCCACGAGTGAAATATGGTAATTTTCATGCCACAAGATGAAAATAAATCATGTATTTATAGAAAAAACTTGAATTTTCTGTTTATTATATACATTTTTCTCTTTTTTGCGATAAAATTTGAAAGACTTTCCCTTAAATTTTGTGTACTGGCAGAATTTAACAGAAAGTAGTCCGGGAAGACACCAGTGAAAATACGGAAAATATGTTTCACTGCAGTGAAAAATAAATTTTTACAGTGAAAATACGGAAAATGAAAATACGCATTTTATTTCATCAATATTTCTCTATATTTCATTTAGAATCTATAAGTATATAATAAATTGATATTTTATTGTATAAATAACAAGGTCAAACACATTTTAGGTCAAATCAATGCCACTAGCACCTGTGACACGACCCGCATTTTTCCCTATTGAACATAGAAGAACCGAAAGTGTGTGTTTTTATGCTATAAAATCACTGTTTGACGTTCTATATTTAAACATGTGACGTATTCATTATACATGTGACGTAACCACTATAAAATCCGACGCGCTGACAGTAAGTACTGTACGGAAACAAATCAGGCGCAATTTTGCTTAATATCAGGTACGGCAGCATTTATTTGTTGATGTCGTGTTAGAATCGAAATAATATATCCAAATCGGTGAATTTTTCGCTGGATACATCACTGTTTGTCGTTCGGATGTGCATCAATCATTATATCACTCGGGCTACGCCCCCGTGATATAATTCCTGGCATCCGAACTCCAAACAGTGATGTTATTGAGCGGTAAAATCACAGTTTGGGATATATTATTTCTTAAATGAACTACTGCATAAATGAAGCTAAGATATTTTAAAAGGATCTTACGCATTTTCGGATTTTTTTTGCTTATTTTTGTGTGTGTGTGTGGGGGGGGGGGGTATCAAGGAGCTATAGGGGGTATTATATAGTACTATCAGGGTCTTCTATTTGAAAGCTACTGTCAATTTATAATTTATATCAAAACGAAGCACGACTATATCTAATGTATCGATTATTTTAACAGTTTATTAATTTAAGTTTAAATTTAAGCTTTGCTAAAAAGGGAATATATTTATCTCGAAACAATTTATATAGATTATCTTATTCCGTTTGATTCCTTTAAAGAAGATATTTATAATTAAGGGTGTGCATTTCTTTGCAAAGATTCCAACTCGGATATATATATCATTATATGATACCACCTGAAGTATCATGATCATGATGATGTATATATAGATATAGACTTAATTATTACTTGTTTTTTGTTTGTTTGTTGTCATTGGGCTTTTTTGTTGTTGTTTAGTGTATTTTAAATAGTGTATTTTGACAGGCGTTCTCGATTTTACTCAAACCTTAAATGACGACATATACTCTAAGATTTTACGCGAAACGTAATATAAAACAGATATCTCCGACAATATATCAAATTAAAGATGATTATATAAGCTGTTTTCCCTCCCACTGTCCCTCCGTACTTAAACATTTCCCGAGTTCAAAAGTGCGTGAGATAAAGCTACAGGCACGATCAAGATCTTGAAAGAACGTAGCGGAAACTGCCTGTAATTACTTATGGCAGAATGTAGCATGTTCACATAGAGTTAACAAGACTTTATTGCACTTATTTCTGAGAAAAGGCACGTAGAATCCGAGTATCAGACTAAAGATACAACAAGCTTTTGCAGCCCATCATCACAATATAATTTATAATGATAATATCATTACATGATCATTTTAAATATTTCGGATATGCATTAAAGATTCTTTTGTAAAGTTGAATTATTTGTCAACGTACGTACATACGTTCAATTTAGGCTAATATAAAATTTCATTCATACATATAATTCGATCAGGTCATATGTTTAATGATGTCACAGCAAAATATGTGCACAGCCGTACAATACCATTTTAACGGCACGGGTATGTGATAAAAGGTACTCTCATAAAGCACAGCCAATTCATTTTGTCTACTACATGTACATGAATTTCTTTGTTGTAACCGTGCAAAAAAATACTTGACTGTGAATAAACGTTGACTTTTAAAACTTACATCTTACAATTTCAAAGCAGAATAGATAGATAAACGTGTATATTACCTTATTTTTTAGTTGATAAGTAATCCGAGCCAATATAGTACTACAGGCAAATAGTTGTAACACATTGTCAGTGACTCTGATACACTCTACTATTGTAGTAAATTGTAGTAATTCGGTCGGAATGTTTGACTTTTACATGCTATCTTAACCCCATATTCATCTACGAGTTATGCTTCATTCATTGAGAAACCTTATCCATTGCCCTATATAACTACGATACATGTATGAAAAGAATGGTATTTTTACCATTTTTTTAAAAATTTAAGATGATTGACATGTTAATTATAACAGCTGTAACGCATATCTCATAATGTAGGAGTTACGTCAGTGTCGCACCGATCCATCGATGTGGGCACTGGACTGGTCACTGACCTTTCACGAATTAAATCGTATAGCTCTAACATACATTTTTTAGTTCTTTAAGTATGACTTTGATTATTTTACTGACTATAGATAAATATAATATAGCATGGTATGTAAGCTGTTAAAATTTCGATGACAGTACGTTTATGAAACATTCAAAATGTCTTGGATTTTCCATACACTCAATCGTCTCAGATTTTCATCATTCTGTTCCATATGGCTTTATAGGTAGACAATGTGTTGACTCTATTTTATTTAAATAACAGTTTTTCATTGAAATAAAATGTATAAATAAAAGAAAATCAGCATAATACGGATCTGATCATTCTGTACATTTAATGGTTTAAAATGTATTTTGTCCAATGATATATCGTTCCATTTTTCAAATTCTCTGACATGTACATTATTCATTTTGACTTGTCCTAAACTGATTCCATTTCATTAATGCTGACTAACAAACATTAATTCACCTACAGTAATTAATTTGAAGTAAATGACACATATCCGGGGTATCTGATTTTGTTAACGACTGGGTGAACTTATTTAAGAAAAATGTTCAAGGCATTCATTCTTTATCAATAAAACATAAAATGACATATTAAAGTCTTTAAGTGCAATAACAATGCATGTAGCAAAAATGAATAGCATTTTAAAGGGCTCGCAGTGGGCGATCAGAGACTATATTCAAAACTGCATGAACATGAACGAGATCAACCATTGTTTTCCCTTATTTCTACCATAAACATTATTAATATTTGGATTCTATTTACTATTTCAAATATCTTTAATTATCAGCATAATTTACATTATTGGGTTCTTTAAATGGATTTCAATTTTCGTCCGTATCATTTTTTGTATTTACAAATGTTAAATGACTAATGAATTGACAAGTTAAAAGTTAAGACGACAATGTTTATTGTAATCTATAATAAGGTCAACTGAAATGACAAGATATATTTGATAGTTTTATAATTCACCCCAGGCACAATTATGCCTGTGACAATTGACCATTTAAGTTGTAAATAATGGTTACTGATTGTAACTGATAAAATCCTTTAATTGTCAATCTGGTGCCTGGCCAAAAACGTTTAATTTTCAAAAATGATCAACGTAAGATAAAATAAAATATTGTCCCATATAAGTTCATGTCAAACGTCTCGTACCTTGAAAGTTTAGTGTAGTTAACGAAGTACTAGACGATTTTATAAGTCCGTCAGTTTTAAGTTTTCACTTTTTTCTTTACATAAATTTTCGTGTCCATGTTTTTTTTAAAAATGATTTTTATCCCTTTCAAAGGTGGTTTATTTGATTATTTGTAATATATGTACAATATAAGTGACTACAGTGGGAGCAATCATTTATTTAATTTCTTTGTCCTATTTTCTTTACTTCTTCGTTCGCATTTTTCTTTCTCATCTGTACATGTTTTTCCTTCCTAATTAATAGCAATCTATGTAGAAGAAACTATATTTCATATAAAGAACACACGAGTCAAATGATACCTTTCGGAAGCTAACCAAAAGTTTGCCAATTCTTTGAAGTTTGCATGAATAAATGTGAGTGGACATAGAGATGTTTGGACTAACACGGTCAAGTAAACTAGTTCAAGTGCTCTTCAGACTCAAGATATTTTCAATCCTTCCTATCACTTTAATATCAGATACAAAGACATCGCATTTTATGTACCATGTTTTCTTGTCTCACCATTATAGTTGAGCATATCGGGACTTGTTTTAATGAGTTTATATCTGGTATAGAACATAAGCAGACTTTTCTGTTTTTATGGGAGCAAAATCGGAAACGTTTTGAAAAGATCGAAGGAACGTTGCTTATCTGCTGTACACAGTACTGTTGATTTACAACATATTTTACAACATAAAGGCACATGGTCCATAAAAGTCAACTAGTATAGATAAGATGTCAAGGCAATATTTATTCACTCCAGATTTCAGAGGGCAACCATCTTGAACAAAATCATATCTCCGCCTTATATTGACCATTTCCATTTACACCAATTGACGAGTTAATGAAAAGTAACTCGTTCAAACAGCTCCTTTTAAATCCCCTTCATTTTATAAATGTGACCTCTCAAAGTGTCTTCATAAACAGTAAATGATATGATAAAAACGCGTATTTAATTAAAAAGGGGAGGGGGAGGAATAAATTTATAAATAATGAAGTATTTTTCAACATTGAACATATTACAAATAAAGATAAAAATAACTTTCCGATCGTTTCCGTCATACTGGTAACCAGTGACTTGTATCAAGCGTACTTTTTTGACAGGAGTGCTTCTCCAATTCTTTAATTGAATGATTTAGTTAAATACATGTATATTATGTGTTATTGCAGGGACATAAATGAATAAATTTCATATTTCTTTGTTATACCCCTCATCAACCGTTACTTCCTTTATATTGCGAGAAACAAAAGCACAAACGGAAATAAGTCTTTATTTTGCAACTACTTTAGGAAATTCCTAGTATCTGAATCTTGATTTTACTTTAAATAAAATACACGCACGCACACACGCACACATTTCGTATTCCTCATTCGCGCTATTTCAAATCCGAAACTTTCCAGTGTACCAGCTAATTGTTTCTCTAATATTGATTTCAATACAATACATAATTATGTATCATTTTGATTATGATATTTTGCATATGATTTAACCGATATTGATAATTAAGGTTGGATACATTATATCTAATGCAAACATAGCAATTGTAAGTGCCAAAACCTGCTATAACATCCTAAATAAAAGAACATTAGCAATCATAAAATACCCTGTCTTGTATATGTCATATATATTGTCCTAGTGTTACCGTAGTATATTGTTTTGTAAAGTTTCCTTGTTAATTTTAATGTGCTCCGATTTGATAAATCACACACAATTATTTTACAGCCATGTTTAAACTGTGGAGCATTTTGTTTTGGCATATTATTATACTTCAATCCTTTTACATCTTGTTTTAACATGATTAACAAGGATACTTTTAGTTATTTTATCTAATTATGTAGATATAAAAGTGAAATTTGTAGCTAAGGGAGATAAATCTTCAGTGCATAAAACAGTATAGTTACATCTGTGTTATGGGCTGGGGAGTTGTCACCCTTAGAAGTTAACTGTCTCCTGTATTTCCATTTAGAATGGCTATACATGTATATGTTTCTAGTGTATATTTCTATATATGTGTTTACATGTACAGACGGGAGTCTAATCAACAAATTATAAAATATAATGTACAGTGCGCAAATCAAGTTTGCAGGTACATGTATATGCCTCAAATTTGCCTATTGTGGATTTGGTTTTTGTTCAGGAATACAAAACTATACAGTCGTTTTCTTCAGATAATGAAATACTTAATGTATATAGTCGTAACCACTGCTGTTATTCTAAGAATGGTTATGGATTTAGTAAATGGATAAAGGAAGCAGTCTATTGACAGTACGTAGTCATGCCATTTCGAAGCTTATGCATGGATAAGCCTGGATTACGTAAATACAACATTTCAACTATATACCGCGTATTATTGTTTACAATTCTCTCGGATTTTCCAAATAAAATTTAACAAAAGAAACAAATTTTGATTTTGTTATAGTTTTATTTGAACAAAATTACATAATTGTCCATTCTTTGTTTCATATTAAATGATGTAGCAAAAACATGCCGTGATTCGAACAATTCCAAACTACAACCACAGAAAATATCTAATTACACATAAACCAGTGCGAGCTGCTCTCTGATATTATATCACAACCTCGTCTTAATAAAGTCAAGTTTTATCAATCAAAAGTAGCCAAGCTAAAAGAATCTGATATGATTCCATTTCTCCTTATAAGATCATTCGCCATTAACTATGGCGAATTATAGCAAGCTTGCATTATAAATCAGAACATGGAAAAAAGGAATTTACAAAAAGAATTTTATACAACCACAAATTGATATACTGATTTCAATTTGTCTTTACTTTATTGCTAGATCCTTCGACTATGAAATTTGTACGAGCTGAGCTTTTTTCTTTTAGCACAATTGAAACTACTATTGAGATGCTAATTTCATCTTAAAAGGGTAAGTAAAAATGCAATAACATACTATAATTATGCAACCAAGACCTGGATACATATGTAAACATCTATTACATGCACATATAGTATGAAAACGTAAACGGAAATCAATCAAGTTTCTTCATAAAACATGCAAGTGACCATGATCTTTCAAACTTAGTACCTGAACATTATAATCAAAACATTTAATGACGATTGACTTATAAACAACCGGGAACTTTGCTTGCAAGCTTAGTGATACATACACGGAGGCAGGAAAATCTATGATATGTTGTAATTAATAACATTACTAATGCAGTCATTTCATAATTTCTGTTCATAATTCCGTTTCATATTAAAGAATTTCTAGGTTAGATTGGTAAGAAAGGAATACCCACAATATAGGGAAACACGACCAGGGAGAAAAATTTTGACCGTTTTCCCCCGTCATGTCGGAATTTTCTACAGTTTTCAATTATTCAGCATTAAATATCAAACAAGAGAAATCATTGGCTTTATTCCTGAATAAAACAAATAAAAACAGAAAAGGTAACATTTTCACAATTTATGCATCAACAATATTACCACATATCAATCTTCCTTTCCAAATTTATTCAAATGCACATGTACATATCAACGAAAAATGTAAGCATCTACTTTTACTTTTTCTCACAGACTAGAACAAAGCTATATATTGAAAAACATACAGAATAATCAAAATGTTACAGAAAACATTTCGGCGAAACTGTTATGGGTACTGTATGGCAAAACGTTCTAATCGTTAAAATCGATTAAAAAACTCTTTAAAAAATATTTAAAAAGACAGCATGAAAAAAAACTTAAATTTTGGCCAACAACAGAGATTTTTTAAAAATTTTGTTTTGTAAATTACAATACCTTTTATGGAAAAGAAGCCAGACTGCTTTGATTATGACCGAAATCACGTTCTTCACAATTTATTCAGATACAATTCAATTAAAGTAACACAACTTTATATAGACAAAAATTGGCATTAAAATATTCATACACATTACACAGATCAATGGGAAATATATCGAAATTACTATTTTAACTTACAATAACAATTACACCCATCCGCATATGTTTCAGCCTAATGTAAATGAGCATAATAATGGATGGATTATGTTTCATGTAAAATGATTTTGCATATAACCTTTAACACAACATGTACTAGATTTTATACTGTTCAGTCGTATTTGCTTTGACATTTTTCTACAAGAGCAGACCAAGCCAAATCGTCTGTATCATTACACTGCATCTCCTTGCCGATGCCCTGAAGCTTGTCTCTCAGTGCTTTCTTGCTAGATGAGTAGATCATTTTTTGTTTAATTCCCAACTGGTTGTCAGGGAGCCTAAAATACAAGGCAAGAATAACGTCAGACCATTGTTTCTTAAATACAAAACTGCAGGGAATAAAGGAATCAAAAGCTATACGTTTTCATAACGTTTAGGTCTTTTATTTTCAATCCATCTTAACACACAGAATATTAGCGCTAAATCTTAAATACTAGGGATCAAACCTTTTTAAAGACAATTAAGCTAGACAAATGTCTTGTTTCAAATTCTAGCTCATCTGTGTAAAAGCAAAGCCTGTAGAATATTAAGAAGATCAGAATTGTCATAGTTTAACTATTTTAAAAATATCATGGAATATACTTATGTGCATGTGTATTGATATGAAAAGCATTTCCGCACAGGGCCAAATTTGGGACCTCTTAAATGTTTTTTTTCTCTATGCAAATTTGAAGTAATGGCAGCTAATTGATCAACAAAAGTTGAATCCAAAAATTGAAACATAATATGTATTAATGAGATACACACTCTGACAAACTAAAGACTGAATCAAATTTATCACCTGTAAAGAGTAAATATAGTATTTGACCATATAAGAGAAATCAGCATCTGTGTTTATATGTAATACCACAACCATGCCTTTCTTTCTTTTTAATCAATGCTATAAAATTGGTAAAACAGCTAATTCCTTTTACATTGTTTGACATTAAAGACATTCAAATGGAAAAATATGGCATATACTACTTGTACAATATATTCATATATTCGGATATAATTCAGAAAAGAATGTTTTATAAGTAAAGCACTGAAATTTCTTAAATAAATTTAGAAAGATAAATGTACCATGCGTACACATGTACATTTTTTCACGTTTTTGACTCTTTTTTTATTGAATTCGACAGTATGAATTTCGAGAATTATTCATAAACTAAAACAATGAACTTTACAGCGGTTAACAATAAGTCTTGAGACTTTCTGAACTTTATAATAAATGCACCTTCTTATGCTCCTTTCTAACACTATCAAGTACAATGAACATGTTATACCAACAGGGATACCTACCACATCATGAAGACAAGTTTGCTAGCTTTACCCTTCGCATATTCGCAATCCATAACAGCATATCGCCCTTCTTTGTTATTACCAGCTTCAATTAATTTTTCACAGAAACTATCGTATGACTCGCCTGCAATATATCATTTATATAAATATATGATTAAATAAACGAAAAGTTTAAGGGGTATCTCACAAGAAACGTTTTGTTATCTATTCATCATTTATTCTAAAAAGATTTTTGGCCTCACTAATTGCGATAAATATTATAAATGGGTTCCACCAGGATATCCAAGAAACACACGGAATGTCGACCGCTGGATAAACTCAGAGGCCTGTTCACTTTTTTTCCAGAACGTTATTACAGTTTACTAAATAAATAAGCATAAATATGTGATACAAACAGTAAAACAAAAAGTTTAACATACCAAGGGCGCCAACACAGTCTACTTCTATATTTTTCAAATCCTTGTCAATTTTATAGATGATATAACTATGTTTGTGGCCTATCTTGAGTTCATCAAATCTGTCCTTACATTCTTCCTTTACTTTGATTCCTGATGACTGCAAAGGAGAGAAAACACCATTTTATAAATTAACCAATACAGATAATAAAGTAATGAATACACAAATGTTTTGTGAAGATTATGTTCTTCGTGTCGCAAACTGAATTGTTCGTTTTCTACGCCGGTGTTAATTAGATCAATCTTCTCCTCCTTTTCCAACCTCCTTCTATTGCAAGGAAGCGTTCCGTAACTTTGAAAATAATGTTTCTATACAATGTAACATGCGTTTCATTTTTGTAAATAACTTGGAAAGAAAACATCAACAGAAAAAGAAAATGCTTCAGGAAAAAATCAAATAAAGGGCTTAAACGGAATAAATTTAATGCCAATTGACAAAATCTATTTTTTTCTTGGCCTATAGCCCATGCAAAAATAAATCACATTTATCTTTTACACAAAATATAGTATGCATGCAGTGTATATAAAGACACTTAAATTATAGACTAAATATTGGTATCATACATAAACTTTCTTTCAGTATTACGATGTAAAGTGATTACTATGATACAATTTCTTGCTTTTCTCATAATTCATTATTCTGCACTTGGATGCTCCCTCATGGTGCGGGAGATATAAATTTGCCTGTGACTGTCCTTTTGTAAAATCACAAAACAGTGACATTTGAACATCTCCGTGTACACATTTCAAGTTTACAATAAATTAATGTTTTATTAAATATCTTAAGAATTTTTACCAATTCTTTGTGGCTTTTTATAGTCCTCACAATCAGTTGCATGTATTCGACTGTTCGTCAGCAGATGGGGGGCATCTGCACCCTATGAATTACCATTGTTTTAATTATTAAGCCTCTTAAGAATTTTAACAACTATTTTATGGCGCTTTTGTATGTCCTCATATTCTGGCAGGTATCTGGCACGTTCAAACTGATGTCTTCTGTTTGGCATATAACCCTCTATAATAATCTTGTTCAACCTTAAAATTTAATAAGACAGGGAACAGCAGTTGCCGGCGTCCTATGCGTTATGTTTTCCTGGTTCTAACGATGAAAGTGCTCGCACCCCTCTTTTTTGTAAATAAAAGCTGTCATCTTGGAAACCGAAAGGTATATTTTGTCTAATATCGTTTCTGTAAAAAAATAGCTGACACGCAAAAAAAAAGCTGACACGCGACCATCAGTGCAAATTTACTTTGAAAATCATTACGGTGTCCTGTTTTAAGCAATGTCGCTAATTGACATACGATATTTACATAACAATGCTTATGTCGATCTTCTTTCAAAAATACAAAATAGATAAAGTGGAGACGATACTTTAGCGACATGTAAAGTTTAATTTACATGTAATATATTCGCATCTTTGGCAGTCGGAATACTCAATAGCGCTTAAATTGCTATAGAGAATGTTTATTGTCGCTATTTGTCAATTTGTGTTTTTCTTTCTTTTTCTTTCCTGTTTTGGTTCTTCTTTGTATTATTTTGTTTGTTTCTTTGAATTTACGTCGCACCAGTGTAGGTCATATGGCGACTTTCCAGCTTTACTGGAGGAGGAAGACCTCAGGTGTCCCTTTGTGCATTATTTCAGGCACAAACGGGCACCCGAGTAGAACGACCAAAGTTCCATAAGCTAGCTGGATAGCTTTCTCACTAAGAAAGATTTCGAAGATGTTGGCGAGGTTTGAAGTAATCGATGTTAACCACTAGTCCACGGACACCCCTCTTTATATAATGCTGAACAGGTGGCATATAAGGGGTAAAAGATTTACTCAAGTCTAAAGTGGTCAACTTTGATGATCAAAAATATTACGAAATTTGCAATTGCCGGCGGCATGGATATATCATTATTACTCTCAGATTATAAATATATGTATATTCAGTTAACGATGCATGCGATAATATTGGAGTTTGCGCAGCACTTAAATATATAAGACACTGATAAATATACTATAGATATATATATATTATATTTAACATGTATTCAACATCATTCACCAAGATATGTAAAGTCATTAGAGCGACTTAATACATTAAGTAATAACCATGTTACTGAGATATATTACTTACAGATGCTTAAAGCATATGTGACTAATCATTTGCTGCCATACACACAATATGGTCGTTGAGACCTGATAAGTTGATCGTTAGTGTTGATCCGTATTATATTCTCGAGGAGCTATCATTGAGGAGAAGTAGATGACTAACCGTCAATCTGATTAAAATTAGCTACCATAAATCTACAATGTAAGGATCTGTATAACATACAAGGTCAGAGTTGCTGTTTGGTCAGAACGTTGTATTCGCTCTACTAATTTTCTAGATCTGCCTTGAAAAGCAGTCTTATCTTTATTTGAACAGAAACACAACGTACCACAGTAACAAGTATAAAAGAGTACAGCTAGGCAGTCGACGAACAAAACGAATCATGAAATGGTTTGGCGACTAGCTGTATCCAGACCCAGACCCGCGCAATAAAAGCAGTCTGGATCAGGACAGCCGTTCCGCCATAACAGTTCCTTTGCTATAGGAGTTTGTAAGATAGAAACGTATGCAATCACACCACGCGGGATGCGCAGGCTGGTCTAAACACGCACTACAATGGTCATGACGACGGCTCAATCTTATCTCAAAGAGTACAGTCGTTCCAACACACGTGAGGGCCGAAAATTTCCATCATCAAGAGATCTATTATCACAAGTAGGAAAAAGCCGCACAGTTGAACTAGACTAAATTTCGCCTAGTCCGATTCCACAAGTGACTGTCACCAAGCATGTTGCAAGCGACATGAATCAGTTTGCAGTTATGGCGCTCCAAAAAACGCAAAAAACAACGAGGGACAATATCCACCCCCTTTAAAAATTTTTAAAACACAATATTGGGGAATTTAATATGGTAAAAAAATATCTCCTAGTTGTAACAGGCAATGCTTCTTGCTCTAAGTGGACCTAGCAATTTCCTGGTTGGAACCTTGTTTCAGGGTAAAACTTATTCAGGACGGTATCAATCTTGACTATATTGGTGATTCCAGGTAACTTGAAGACTTTTATAGTTTTATACATTTCGAAACCGGATAGTCAGTATTGCATTGTATTTTGTTGCAAATAAAGAGTTTTATAGACTTCTTCCTCGTTTCTCGATTCCCAATAAAATGTCCAAACAATGACGAGATTGTCCGCTAGTTGTTCGTTCCTCTGAGCACATCAAAACCAATAAAAATATCTATGAAAAGTGTACAAACTTGCATACAATTATTTCGTTTTTCCTTAAACAAAATAGTTAATATTTTACTTCAAATTATCGAAACACCACCTGTATATGGATGTTTAATCATCATACGTGTGTACTACAGAAAACAAATTATTTTACTTGCGAACATTTCTATAAACCACGTAAGTACCCGTGTGAACTGAACGCCATTCAAAGTCTATTATTTTTTTAAATAAAGTGAAGAGAAATATTTTACGGTTTCTACAAACTGTGTAACTTGTACTTCATTTAAAAAAGAAGAAAAAAGAAGTTTAATAAGTATTGTCGACAATACTACTTTTAAGCGTCCTTTTTATCAAATAGATGGTGATTTTTCAAGCAAATTAACCGAGCTAATTAACATTATTGTTAACATTATGGAAACAAATATCATTTAAAGTTTTAAACAAAAACCAGGCTTCGGACATACATGGAATACATATATTATTTTATTAAAGATACCAATTTTTGGTGTTAGATATACATGTACTCAAAATGCATGCTATGTTAGTAGAAACTGAAAATGCATCCAATTCCTAGAGACACTTAACTAAAATGAAAATAGCTAGGACATAGACAGCAGGTGGCTGGTCCTTGTGACATTTATCCGGTGGTATTATGAATTTCAGCACTCAATCCAACACATAATTGGTCAGAATTGTTATCTTAAACTTGTTTTTACCGGTATATTGTTTTTACACATGCACATGACATTTTAAAACAAGAGGGCCAAGATGGCCCTAGATCGCTCACCTAACCCATCGAACTCATCCGAGCAATTGCCTAGACAAGCATACTGACCAAGTTTCATGACAGGTGAGTCAAAAATGTGACCACTAGAGTGTTAACAAGGATTTTTCATATTTGAGCAGTTTGACCTAGTTTTGACCCCATGTGACCCATACTCAAACTTGACCTAGAAATCCTCAAAACAAACTTTCAGACCAATTTCCAGGATATTGTGATCAAAATAGTAGCGACTAGTGTTAACAGGACTACTCTATTTTTAGCTCCTGTGACCTAGTTTTTCATCCGAGATGATCCATGAGCAATTACCTAGACAAGCATCCTGACCAAGTTTGATGACAATTGAGTCAAAAATATGACCACTAGAGTGTTAAGTAATAGTTATAGTATATAAACGAGTTAGTTACAAGGATATAACACTGGCTGGGCGACATCAAAGGGTGTTTTCTGCTAAAAAAAAAAGAGTCGAAGCCGTTAGGCAGAGACAATTTTTTTTTCCAGAAACATCCCGAAACAAAACCAGCTAATGATTTCGTAAGCTACCTTACAGCTATGTATAATATAATATTGTATACTTAAGGTAGTACACCCCTAATGCACTGTCTCCACTTTGAAGAGTATTCAAATAGGCTAAAATCACTGTAAAGTGTATTGAAACTGAGGGGGCGTGGGTTCAAACCCCAGAAGGGGCAATTTTATTTCTTTCTTTATTTTCTTTTTAACATTTCTATTAATCTCTCAGACCCCCTATGGAAGAAAAAAGTGTTTTATTTTAATTATATAATTATTGTAGGTATTTATTTACTAAATAATGCCAAATTTAATAGCAAATATGATACCAGATATTTTCAAAGTTCGATAAAATAAAAACTAAACGGTAAAAGTATTTTATATTTTGCAAGACCAACCAATATACATTAAAGAAAATTTAGGCAAACTTTGAAAATAGCCCCTCATTTTGGAAAATTTTAGAGATATTTTAAATAAGGCTTTTAACATAGGGAAATGGTCAAATTAGTGTTAAAAGTGGGTGGGGTAGGGTTACATTTTTATACATATTAAAAACATTTCGTTTA